TAAGTCTCATTCCTTAATTTCAATAAATACGGCTTCCAGGAATTTTTAAATTAGCATCTTTTTTGACACTTTTAGGTTATACGAAAATGTTAGTTTTAACTCAATACTCTTTTTCTCAATATTTTTTTAATTCAACCCATCGATTGTTATACATCGATTTAAACAGAAAGCTTCAAGCTTCAATTTAAAATAAGTTTTATTTCTTAATTTCAATAAACACGGTTTCCAGGAATTTTTGAATTAGCATCTTTTTTGACACTTAGACTATGCGAAAATAGGGGGATTGCATATTTTGCTAAAATTTTATTCCAAAGGCCTTTACTGAGTATATTTTGATAGCGTTTTAATTCTGTCTGATTCTGTCACAAAGTTTCAAAATGTTTGACTTCTTGGGACACAAAGGGTTAAAAGGTGTTTCTTATGAAAGTATTTGGAATGTTGGTTAGAGTGCAAGAATTACATAAAAAAAGATAAATCCTAACCTAAAAAAAAAAAGTCAAATTATTAAATTATACCATCTCCTTCCATAAATAAGCTATAAAATTTGAGGTTCAACCTAAATAATTTACGTTTTTGCATAATTTAATAGTAAAATTGAAGTTTTAGAAGAAATCTTTTGGTTTATTACGAATTTTCTGTTTACATTGAAGCCCTTTTTTTATAGAAATGTTATTACCGAGACATAACAAGGAATTTTTACTGGTAGAACCAAAACAATAGGAGTATTATGTTAATAATTTTATACAGAATGTTGTTATTCAGTGCTATTTAAAGTTCAAGTTGGATATTCATAAATATGTTAGAAGCTATAACCACACAACTAAAAATTAATTATAAAAGTAAAACAATTCGCTGCATATTAATTAAAAATGAAGAAATTTAAATAGCATCTCATCAATCCTCTTCAAATTAAAACAAAACGAATAGAAATCCTTTTAAAATTAATAAAATAACCTTTAAATTACATCAACTTTATTTGAGGTTAAATGTCAAATTGACGTTTACTTGTCAAATGTGACGTTTATTTTTAATCTAAAAATGAGTTTATTTGAATATCTAATTATGAATTAAAAGGTGTTTCTTATGAAAGTATTTGGAATGTTGGTTAGAGTGCAAGAATTTCATCGAAAAAAAGTTAAATCCTAACCTAAAAAAAAAAAGTCAACAAATCATTAAATTATACCATCTCCTTCCATAAATAAGCTATAAAATTTGAAGTTCAACCTAAATAATTTACGTTTTTGCATAATTTAATAGTAAAATTGAACTTTAGGAAGTTTATTACGAATTTTTTGTTTACATTGAAGCCCTATTTTTATACAAATGTTATTACCAAGACATAACAAGGAATTTTTACTGGTAGAACCAAAACAATAGGAGTATTATGTTAATAATCTTGTACAGAATGTTGTTATTCAGTACTATTTGAAGTTCAAGTTGGATATTTACAAATATGTTAGAAGCTATAACCACACAACTGAAGAAATCTAAATAGCATCTCATCGATTCTCTTCTANAAAATTGAACTTTTGGAAGAAATTTTTTGGTTTATTACGAATTTTCTGTTTACAATGAAGTCCTTTTTTTATAGAAATGTTATTACCAAGACATAACAAGGAATTTTTAGTGGTACAACCAAAACAATAGGAGTATTATGTTAATAATCTTATACAGAATGTTGTTATTCGATGCTATTTGAAGTTCAGGTTGGATATTCATAAATATATTAGAAGCTATAATCAAAAATTAACTATAAAAGTAAAACAATTCGCTGCATATTAATTAAAAATGAAGAAATCTAAATAGTACCTCACCAATCCTCTTCAAATTAAAACAAAACTAATAGAAATGCTTTTAAAATTAATGAAATAAAAACCTTTAAATTACATCAACTTTATTTGAGGTTAAATGTCAAATTGACGTTTAATTGTCAAATGTGACGTTTATTTTTAACCTAAAAATGAGTTTTTTGAATATCTAATTTTGAATTAAAAGGTGCTTTCTATGGAAGTATTTGGAATGTTGGTTATAGTGCAAGAATTACATCGAAAAAAAGATAACCTAAAAAAAAGTCAACAAATTATTAAATTATACCATCTCTTTCCATAAATAAGCTATAAAATTTGAGGTTCAACCTAAATAATTTACGTTTTTGCATAATTTAATAGTAAAATTGAAGTTTTGGAAGAAATCTTTTGGTTTATTACGAATTTTTTGTTTACATTGAAGCCCTTTTTTTATAGAAATGTTATTACCAAGACATAACAAGGAATTTTTAGTGGTACAACCAAAACAATAGGAGTATTATGTTAATAATCTTATACAGAATGTTGTTATTCAGTACTATTTGAAGTTCAAGTTGGATATTTACAAATATGTTAGAAGCTATAACCACACAACTGAAGAAATCTAAATAGCATCTCATCGATTCTCTTCTAACTAAAACAAAACGAGTAAGTTTCTTCTTCCTTTCACTTGAATAAGGTACTTTCTTTCACTTTACCACGACCTACGACCTTTAACGCAATGTGCTATTTCAACAATTTCTCCTTTATGCGTTGTTTTAACCAGAAAATTAATTAGCAAAAAAGTATAGGTGGTATATGCAGTGTTAATTAATAATAAAAGTGAAACTCTATGAGATAATACCAATTTTTATTTTTTAGGTAATAATCATTTTATCTTTTTACATTCCAAAGACGTTCAGTTTCAATTCGACTCTCGTCACGAAGAATATTATTGCCATTTTCGTAATCTAGGTTAATTGTATTGTATTAGATTTCACTTTTACCCATCTTTAAATCGTTTTGTAAAATAAAATCGATTTTTTATGGTTCTATTTAAAAGTAGTAATTGTTTAATAATTTTAAATTAAATCATTTTATTTATTTATAAAAAATAATTTTATTTTTAAATGAATGGTAAAAAAGATATGCAACCCAATTTACACCGAATTGTATTAAACGAGAATTCTACTAAACGCCACCAAATGTCAACGTAAACGAAACATTTAAACGTCACCTCATCTCCAATTTTATTATTTTTTTAATAATAATCTTTAAAAAATGGGGTTTTCATTATGGAATTTATACGAGGCGACCATTCTATGTTTAAACGCCGTTTGCATTTTACACGAAGATCGATTTTTAGCTAAAAGTACGTATTCATTCCTTTGACGTTTGAGGTTAGAAAACTTAACCTCACTTTTCTGTATTAAATTTTAATAATAAAATGATTTTGTATTATTTTTTAGTTGGGTGGAGCTCAAAAAGTTTATCCGTCCCCGGATACGGCGATCAACCTTCAATGAAAGCTCAAATATTAAATTTAGTGCATTCCATTCGAACGGTAGTAAGAAGTGAGTTTTTACGATTATCTCATTGATGAGTAATCAATTAATTTTTGCGTTTTCTTTTTTAGTTCCGTTAATATTTTTCAATGTGATTACAATCCTACTGGAATTCGTCTTTTAAATTAAACGTTAATTAAGTGTTTTTTTTTTTTGTAGATAAAAATAAATGTTTCATTTTTGTATCAAAAAAATTTGTTTTTGATAAATTTGACCTAGTCAAGACTTTATATTCGTAGGTGGATCAATTAAAAGGTTAATTCATTGAGCCAAGTCCAGTTAAGTTAACATCATGAAGTGAATTCAAAAGTAAATTATTCTATTTGCGTTTTTGTCATGTTTACGCCCCCTTTTTTCAAACATGTGATTTTCTTCATTCAAATTGAGATTTAGTTATAAAACCACATACAATTTAATAGTAATATTGCTAGTGTTAGTTCTAGTTATGATTGTATGTAACAACATAGCGCTGAATAACTATTTAGAACTAACTCTAGAACTAGAAACGTTCGGGTTCAGCCGTCTTAAGAGACGCAGAGCTAAACCACAAAGGTTTCTAATTATGATTATACAGGCTGTTTCTGTAAGTTGTGGCATAAATTTAAACACAAATGCGGAAAAGTGACTAACTAGATTAACTTCAGTTATAAAACTTTTATTATATGATAAGTTATGATAATAACTAACTTTAGGTTTAAAATGTCAACCTCAATTTTGACATATTTATATTCGGGGGTAAATACACAAGAGCTTGACTTTTAATCGGATAATTTTATTTTTACACGAACGTTTTGTTACCCTGAAAATAACTCGAAATCAAAAGCATGATAAAATCGCGACAGTTTTAGCTGGAGCGATTTTATCTTTTGATTTTGATTTATTTGGTATACAATCATTCATTAATGACATCTATTAATAAACGATTTTCTATTAATAAACGATTTTAATGTGTCAAAAGTCAAAATTTATTATTGTAGTTTTACCGAATAGATATAGTGGTCGGTTGGGTCGGTATTACAGATTTCATTCGAGAATATTTATTAAATTGACTACTATATTAGTTCGGTCGGACTTTCTTAAAGTTTGCCAGTGATAGAATTATAGAATTGGGTGATTTTTCAACGATGAATTTTCGATGAACAGTCAACGAAAAAATATTGTAACTAACTCGTATATTAAAATGCGATTAATTATCTCAATAGTATTAACAATTAATTAAAATATCTCGATAATTAATCGCCTTCATTAATACACTTGGTTAAATAACTATTAAATTGAGTCCAAACATGATACGTTTAATTCCAATATTACTTGAGATATATGTAAGCAACTTCCGATTTGAAATGTCAATGTCATTTTGACATATTCTTAATTTTTATAAAATGTAAAACAAAAATATAATAAAAAAAATCAAAAATTAAGGTTGGAATATTTAAAAATTAAATTGCTAACTTCGGGTTTAATGTTTTTTATTCAAACTTTTTTGTTTTTTGAGATAAGTACGACTTGTTAGAACTCATTTTAAAGGATTTTTTTAATAAAGAATACATCATGAAAGAACACCATGAAGTTGTCCATTTGTCTATTATACGGTAAGTAACTTCCGGTTTAAAATGTCAACCTCAATTTTGACATATCTGTAATCTTCATTAAAAATCCTTTAAAATGAGTACAAACATGACATATTTATTTTTAATATTAATGAAGTTATGGTCAATTTCCGGTTAAGAATGTCAACGTCAATTTTGACATATTTGTAATCGTCGTGAAAAATTCTTTAAAATGAGTCCAAACATGATACGTTTAATTCCAATATTACTCGAGATATAAGCAACTTCCGGTTTGAAATGTCAATGTCATTTTGACGTATTCTTAATTTTTATTAGATGTCTTAATATTTGTCACAAAAACAAAAATATAATAAAAAAAAAATCAAAAATTAAGGTTGGTATTAATATTTAAAAATTAAATTGCTGTCTTCATTGTTGCTAACTTCGGGTTTAATGTTTTTTATTCTAACTTTTTTGTTTTTCGAGATAAGTGCGTCTTGTTAGGACTCATTTTAAAGGTTTTTTGATAAAGGTTTTTCATGAAGTTGTTAATTTGTCTATTATATGATAACTAACTTCAGGTTTAAAATGTCAACCTCAATTTTGACATATTTGTAATCTTCATTAAAAATCCTTTAAAATGAGTACAAACACGACATATTTATCTTCAATATTAATGAAGTTATGGTCAACTTCCGGTTAAGAATGTCAACGTCAATTTTGACATATTTGTAATCGTCGTGAAAAATCCTTCAAACATGACACGTTTAATTCCAGTATTACTCGAGATAAAAGCAACTTCCGGTTTGAAATGTCAACGTCATTTTGACATATTCTTAATTTTTATAAAATGTCTTAATATTTGTCACAAAAACAAAAATGTAATAAAAAAAATTAAAAATTAAGGTTGGTATTAATATTTAAAAATTAAATTTCTATCTTCATTGTTGCTAACTTCGGGTTTAATGTTTCTTTTTCTAACTTTTTTGTTTTTTGAGATAAGTGCGTCATCTTTGGACTCATTTTAAAGGTTTTTTAATGAAGATGACAAAAATGTCAAAATTGACGTTGACGTTTCAAACCGGAAGTGAATGTATTTTCATTAATATCAAAGTTAAATATGTCGAGTTTGGACTCATTTTAAAGGATTTTTTATGAAGTTAACAAATATGTCAAAATTAATAATAACTTTTTGGTTTTTTGAGATAAATGCGTCAAGTTTGGACTCAAATTAAAGGCTATTTTATGAAGATTACGAATATAATAATAAAATTATAGTTGACATTGGCAACTGAAAGTTTTTTTCATGACAGAATTAAAAAAATCGTAGGTGGATCAAACGCAACTGACAATTAAAAGGTTAATTAATCGACCCAAGTCCAGTTAAATTAACATCACTTCATAATTTTATTCGGAAATTAATTATTCCAGTCGCGTTTTTGTCACGTTTACGCCCCCTTTTTCGGAGAACTTCAATTCAATTCAATCAATCATGTGATTTTCTTTATCCAAATTGAGATTTAACGATAAAAGCCACATACGATTTAATACAAACATTTTATGCATCGCTTTATCTATGTATATTTATCCAATAAAAACGATAGATTAATAATGTAAATAATAAGATTTTTCTGTCGTTGTATAAAAGGTTCAGGTAAAGAAAGTTTTTGTAACAGGATTGAATGTTCCCAAAAGGGTCGATTTTAGGGGTTGAAAAGGGAGAAAATGAGATAGTGGGGAGAGCTACACAGCTGCTGTACTACACCAACAACGAAAAATTATTTTCCGTCTCGTTTTAAAAGGCGAGAATCGAAGAGCAGTGCATCGAACATCGAAGGCGTGTTTAAAAGTGTGTTTTTAGTGCCCCGCGATCCGCGAATACGACGAGTGCGTAAGTGTGTTTTCAATGTCGTTAGTTTAAAATTAAAAAGCACGTGGAATAAAATCTAAGATTTTAAAACATTCTTTTAAACAAGGTACGTAGTGTCATTAATTAGATTAATTCATTTTTTATTCTTTCGGCATGTTTGTTTTATTACAAAATTTCTTTATCGTTATCAAAAAAATTGTTTTGCTTTAAATAAGCTTATTTTCCTTCCGCGTTTTAAATCTGGAACATGTTTGTGTTTCAATAAAATTTTCTAGACGCATTTAATCGTTTTATTTATAAATTTGACTACGATGCAAGATTTTTTTCGGTTCATTTTTTTATTGGCGTCATTTTTCTAGGAAATGCAAGCAATGGAAAATTTTTAACTTATTCTTATCTAACACTAGCATCCTATAAACATTCAACACGTGTATTATTTTCATTCATTATTCGAAATCGTGATCGATTAATTACACTTCGATTTGATGTTTTAATGACGTTTAATTTCTTTTATAAATTTCATTTTTAATCGTACGTTTTTTTAAGATATGTCTATTTCTAATGGTGATTTAACCAACCCAGTTAAAGAAACAGTCGAAATGGACCCTTTGGTGGATAAACACACGCGTTTTCAAGTGAATAGAGTCACCAATAGCCCCGAGAGGGGCGAAAATTCTCTTATCGTTGATATTAAAGAGGATGACGACGAGGAGGTTTTGGCGTATTCAATTTCGGATCGAACCCGATTGAATTCCGATTCCGATACGAAATATGGAAAAAGTTTCAGGTATGCCATAAAAATGTTTATTAAAGTTATCGGTAATTTTCCAATACCCTTCGACAAGAGATAAAAAAATAAGAACTTACCTAGTATATTGGTTAATGCATAATTTATAATCGGTATGTAGGTTGTATTAACGGTATTTTATTTTAAATGTATGGGTAACACGTTTTAATTGTTCAAATAGGAAATACCGTGGTTAATTTACTGTTATAAACGGAAAAAATACAAATGTCACTTTGACATTTCAAAACTTAAAAAGTTAGGTTATTTTAATGGCGAATTAGATCTTAATTCTGATTGGAGCAATTTTGGTTGTCTTAGCAACCAACTCATTTCATAGAATTATGACAGTTTAAAAATCTAACCTAAAAATTTTTTTTTAACCTAATAATTTAATAACTTTAATAGTGTTATTCCTTTTTATATCTCAAATTATCCTCTAAATCGAATAATTTTCGTAAGCTCGAGCATTTTACCACGTTTCAAATGTGTTTTTCTCTTTATGTGTATGTCGAATTTCCTAAAGAATTAACTATTTGAATCTGTTTTGTAAACTGTTTTTAGTGTTAGTTCTAGTGATATTGGTAATTTATCTAGCGCTGAATAACAATTAGAACCAAGACTAGATCTAAAACTAGAATCGTAACTTAAGAGAATTTAAAGGCTCGTACAGACACGTTTAGTAATTTAATCGAGTAGCGAGTAGCACTTACCGCTGGAACTTTTACTAAATAGCAACTATCCACATTTAATACGCTCAAGACACTTTAGTGGTACTCAATAAAGTATAATTCACATGCTTATAGAGGAAATTGAAGGAGAAGTAAAAAAACACTTTTTCTCTAATTTAAATGGTAATTGTTCAAATAATTTAATTAATTTCAATTGTTTTTGGCCTTAAAATATTTATTAATACTTAGTAACGTTTTATAACCTCAATTTTAGCAACGTATTTTTAAAGAAATGTTTTTCTCAGATAATTCAATATATTTACATCGCTTCTCATTTTTTATCATGTGGTCCAATTAATAGACGTTGTGTTTGAAGATGACTCCAAGTCGAAACACGTGTAACACATAAAACTTCTTTTAAGGCCAAAAACCTGGTTTTTGATTTCCTATTCTTCTAAATTGTAACGATGAATCTGGAGAAAGAACTAGCAATCTACAGAAGATGTGTCTGAAAACCTTAATAAGCGTATGTGGGTTAGAAAGTGGATAGGAAGAAGAATTTCATTGGGGATATCAAATGCTCTTCTATTACTACCTCTTAACACATCATCCAGTATTTGAAACCATTTTATGGATGGAAAATGAACAGTATCGGCACCAGATCCAGATTTCATAGAATCCTTAATTTTTTGTTGCTCCTATGAATGTCCATCTAATATTTTTTATTTTTATATTCATAACCTTTTTGTTTTGCTAACCTGTCTTTATAAGTAACACTTTTAATATGCCATAAACATTCACGTTTGACATTTTTACTAACAAACTTGACAGTAGTGTTTTCGCTCCATCGCCCCGACATGTTTGTTATTATTTATACTATACTATACATTATACTACATATTGCTAATTCACTAAACTAAATTTATGCGTTCGCACGTGTTAGTGGCAGTTGTAAGTAGTGGGGGTACACTACTCGACTGAAAAAATAGATTCAAATGGATCTACTCGACTAAATCGTTTTACTAGACTACTTGACTAAATTACTAAACGTGTTTGTACAAGCCTTAAGAGACGCAGGGCTAAACCCGAAGCTTTCTAGTTGTAGATCTAATGTTAGTTCTAGTGGCAGTGTAAGTGTAAAACTAGAACTAACACTAGAGCTAGAACTAGAATCATTTGGGTTTAGCCATCTTGAGAAACGTGCGGCTAAACCCAAATGATTCTAGTTCTAGGTGTAGTGTTAGTTTTACACTTGCAATATTACTAGAACTAACATTAGACCTAGAACTAGAATCATTTGGGTTTAGCCGTCTTGAGAGACGTGCGGCTAAACCCAAATAATTCTAGTTCTAGGTATCACTAACTCATTTGGGTTTAGCCGCACGTCTTTAGACTAGTTCCTAAAAATAAAGTTGGTATGATTTTTTAAAGTTTAGCAAAGATTTTAAATTTCTACTACAATTAAACTTTGATGTTTTTCGGTTTAAAAAAAAACTTTATCATAAAACGTATTACTTATTATGCATAGAAGCAAAGATCAAAGTTTAAGCTTTAATTTAATAAAAAAATCATTTCTTAGTTCCTAAAAATAAAGTCGGTATGATTTTTTAACGTTTAACAAAGATTTTCAATTTCTGCTACTATTAAATATTGATAAAAAAGCAACAAAATCACATGAATCAACAAAATAAAACCTATTACTTATTATGCATAGAAGCAAAGATCAAAGTTTAAGCTTTAATTCAATAAAAAAATCATTTCTTAGTTCCTAAAAATAAAGTTGGTATGATTTTTTAAAGTTTAACAAAGATTTTCAATTTCTGCTTTTATTAAACATTGATGTTTTTCGATTTTACAAAAAAACTTTATCATCAAAACTATTACTTATTATGCATAGAAACAAAGATCAAAGTTTAAGCTTTAATTTAATAAAAAAATCATTTCTTAGTTCCTAAAAATAAAGTCGGTATAAATTTTTAAAGTATGACAAAGTTTTTCGATTTCTGCTACAATTTAACATAGACGTTTTTCGATTTTACAAAAAAACTTTATCATAAAATGTATTACTTATTATGCATAGAAACAAAGATCAAAGTTTAAGCTTTAATTTAATAAAAAAATCATTTCTTAGTTCCTAAAAATAAAGTTGGTATGATTTTTTAAAGTTTAACAAAGATTTTCAATTTTTGCTGCTATTAAACATTGATGTTTTTCGATTTTACAAAAAAACTTTATCATAGAACGTATTACTTATTATGCATAGAAGCAAAGATCAAAGTTTAAGCTTTAATTTAATAAAAAAATCATTTCTTAGTTCCTAAAAATAAAGTTGGTATGTTAGTTCTAGTTTTAATTATTATGCAACGCTAAACCAAGAACTAGAATCATTTGGGTTTAGCCGTCTTGAGAGACGTGCGGCTAAACCCAAATGATTCTAGTTCTAGTTCTAGTATTAGTTCTAGTGACAGTACAAGTGTAAAACTAGAACTAACACTATACCTAGAACTAGAATCATTTGGGTTTTGACAGTACAAGTGTAAAACTAGAACTAACACTATACCTAGAACTAGAATCATTTGGGTTTTGACAGTACAAGTGTAAAACTAGAACTAATACTATACCTAGAACTAGAATCATTTGGGTTTAGCCGTCTTGAGAGACGTGCGGCTAAATCCAAATGATTCTAGTTCTAGGTATAGTGTTAGTTCTAGTGACAGTGCAAATGTAAAACTAGAACTAACACTACACGTAGAACTAGTTAGTTCTAGTGACAGTATTTTTGAAGACGCACGGCTAAACCCGAAACTTTCTAGTTCTAGGTCTAGTGTTAGTTCTAGTTTTAATTGATATTCAGCGCTAGATTGTTATATATTTTTATTGAACAACTTGAAAGATTAAATATACGAATTAGAAAAGTACATTTCTAATTTTTTCTTTAGAGTTGAAATTCAACTAATTTCTCCCTAACTTAAAGTTTCTTCCGCACCCTTAGCGATTCGAGTTATGGAAATTTCACAATAATTAATAATTTTTTTAGGCATTTTACCAGAGAAGCACTTCCCCGATTAGATAATTACCGAAACATCATGTCTTTACAAGCGGCGAATCGTCCAACTTTGGATGAATTGCACAACGCAACTTTACCGAACAAAGTAAGTAAAAAATTTTAATTAAAAACAAAAATGACTCAACTCTAACTCCGTTAAACCCACACACACACCTTAATAAATAAAGATTAATTTGTTTCCGTTTCATTGCATTTCATCACGTTACCAATTTGACCTTAAAAATGATACAATTTCCACAATCTAAAAGATTAATTACATATCACATTTATATAATTTATTTATTATTTAGATGCAAACACCAACTCATGAAAAAAATGGTTTACCAATATCCGAAGGACAATTAAAATTCGGTTGGATTCAAGGCGTTTTAGTAAGATGTCTTTTAAATATATGGGGAGTGATGCTGTTTTTAAGACTTTCTTGGGTTGTTGCTCAAGCGGGTGTCGGCGAAAGTATTTTATTAATTCTAACCACGACATGTGTAACCGCGATAACATCGTTATCCATGTCCGCTATAAGCACAAATGGTGTTATAAAAGGTGGCGGAACTTATTATATGATTTCGCGAAGTTTAGGCCCTGAATTTGGGGGCTCAATCGGATTAATATTTTCTTTGGCTAACGCTGTTGCGTGCGCTATGTACGTTGTTGGTTTTTGCGAAGCGTTACAAGATCTTCTCGGCACATTTAACGTAAAAATCGTCGATGGAAACGTTCAAGATATTCGAATAATCGGGGCGATTACTTTGGTGGTGATCACCGGGATTGTTATTTTTGGGTTAAAATGGGAAGCGAAAGCGCAAAATGTTTTATTAGTTATTTTATTGGTGGCTATTGTTGATTTCTTTATTGGGAGCTTAATTGGGCCCAAAAATGAGCACGATATTCAAAGAGGATTTATTGGATATAACGGTAAATAAATGTTTTTGTTATGTACATTTTTAATTAGTTAATTTTTTTTTAGTGAGCTTATTTAATGAAAATTTTTTCCCGGATTATCGCGTATTCGAGGGTGTTCATCACAATTTCTTTTCGGTTTTTGCGATATTTTTTCCTGCGGCAACTGGAATTTTAGCAGGGGCAAATATTTCCGGCGATTTAAGAGTGAGTTATATAACATCATAAAAATAAGTCGTAAAATAAAAAAAAAATCGAAAACGAAACAATCCGTTCCGTTTTTTATTAAGTCTCAATACGCTTTGAGTTCACCTCTATTGTTCATAGCTGACTAATAACGGAAGCTATGAATCAGCCCAACTTAATGATTTTTTTCGTTCTATTTTAGGATCCTCAAAAAGCTATTCCTAAGGGAACACTTCTCTCAATCCTTTTAACGAGTTTATCGTATATTTTAATCGCTATAGTTTGCGGTTTTACTGTAATGAGAGAAAACATCGTTTGCGAAAATTCAACTGGGGTTGCAGAAATGATTTTAGACAACTTTACACAAAATGGAACTTGTCATGTTTATGGATCCCATCACAGCTTTCAAGTAACTAGTATATTAAAAAACAAGTTTCGTAAGACACGCTTGAAATGCACGAATTTTTAATGAATGAGTGCTTTAAGTCTTATGAAACGTGTTTTTTATGCTATTTTTTTGTAATTCGCGTTTTTATCCTTTTTTTTAACATAAATAGGTATGTAGCAGTTGATAACACCGTAACACTTGTAAATAGAAATTTGAATTGACAATTAGAAATTGTTAAAACCCAAAATAAGAGAAATTGCTCAGAGTTCAATGTCCTCATCATTGTGGACCTTGTTTTCGATACTAAGAACGCGCTTAAACATCCATGATTCCGTCATCACATACATTAAAATTCCATGATACATTAAAATAACTCTCAGTTGTCAATGTCAACTTTAATTTTATTATTATATTCGTAATCTTCATAAAATAACCTTTAAAGTGAGTCCAAACACGACGCATTTATTTCAAAAAACAAAAAAGTTCGAACTTTCAACTATTAATTTTGACATATTTGTAATCGTCGTGAAAAATCCTTTAAAATGAGTCCAAACTCGACATATTTAACTTTCATATTAATGGAGATACAATTACTTCCGGTTTGAAACGTCAACGTCAATTTTGACATATTTGTCATCTTCATTAAAAAACCTTTAAAATGAGTCCAAAGATGACGCACTTATCTCAAAAAACAAAAAAGTTAGAATAAAAAACATTAAACCCGAAGTTAGCAACAATGAAGATAGCAATTTAATTTTTAAATATTAATACCAACCTTAATTTTTTATTTTTTTTATTATATTTTTGTTTTTGTGACAAATATTAAGACATTTTATAAAAATTAAGAATATGTCAAAATGACATTGACATTTCAAACCGGAAGTTGCTTATATCTCGAGTAATATTGGAATTAAACGTATCATGTTTGGACTCATTTTAAAGGATTTTTCACGACGATTACAAATATGTCAAAATTGACGTTGACATTCTTAACCGGAAGTTGACCATAACTTCATTAATATTGAAGATAAATATGTCGTGTTTGTACTCATTTTAAAGGATTTTTAATGAAGATTACAAATATGTCAAAATTGAGGTTGACATTTTAAACCTGAAGTTAGTTATCATATAATAGACAAATGGACAACTTCATGGTGTTCTTTCATGATGTATTCTTTATTAAAAAAACCTTTAAAATGAGTCCAAACATGACGCACTTATCTCAAAAAACAAAAAAGTTAGAATAAAAAACATTACACCCGAAGTTAGCAACAATGAAGATAGCAATTTCATTTTTAAATATTAATACCAATCTTAATTTTTGTTTTTTTTTATTAAATTTCTTGTTTTTGTGACAAATATTAAGACATTTTGTAAAAATTAAGAATATGTCAAAATGACATTGACATTTCAAATCGGAAGCTGCTGATATTGGAATTAAACGTATCATGTTCGGACTTATTTTAAAGGATTTTTCAAGTCGATTACAAATATGTCAAAATTGACGTTGACATTCTTAACCGGAAGTTGACCATAACTTCATTAATATTGAAGATAAATATGTCGTGTTTGTACTCATTTTAAAGGATTTTTAATGAAGATTACAAATATGTCAAAATTGAGGTTGACATTTTAAACCTGAAGTTAGTTATCATATAACAGAAGATAATCTAGTGTTAGTCACTTTTCCACACTTTCTTTTTATTTTTAACGTCTTTTTTGGGTCATTTCACATTGATTAAAGAAAAATCGTCGATTTTTAAGCCACATGATTTAATTATACCTAAATTCTATATAAAATAGAAACCAGATGAAAAGTACAAAATCAAACTCTAGACAATTTTCTTCAAACATTTTTACACGAAATATCATTTTGATTGATTTTGATTTTTGTAGTTAAATTTATGCCACGATTTACAGAAACACCTGTATAATCGTAAAACGACTGACCAAGCGGATTCTGTACTTGTGATGGCTGTTATCAGTGTTCTGTGTTATTATTATATTCGTAATCTTCATAAAATAACCTTTAAAATGAGTCCAAAGATGACGCATTTATCACAAAAAACCAACAAGTTCGAACTTTCAACTATTAATTCTGACATATTTGTCAACTTCATAAAAAATCCTTTAAAATGAGTCCAAACTCGACATATTTAACTTTGATATTAATGGAGATACAATCACTTCCAGCAATTTAATTTTTAAATATTAATACCAACCTTAATGGTGTTATGGTCAACTTCCGGTTAAGAACGTCACCGTCAATTTTGACATACATATTTGTAATCGTCGTAAAAAATTCTTTAAAATGAGCCCAAACATGATACGTTTAATTCCAATATTACTCGAGATATAAGCAACTTCCGGTTTGAAATGTCAATGTCATATTGACATATTCTTAATTTTTGTAAAATATCTTAGTATTTGTCACAAAAATAAAATATAATAAAAATAAAGGTTGGTATTAATATTTAAAAATTAAATTGCTATCTTCATTGTTGCTAACTTCGGGTTTAAAAGTTAGAACAAAAAACATTTTATTCTAACTTTTTTGTTTTTTGAGATCTTTGGACTCATTTTAAAGATTTTTTAATGAAGATGACAAATATGTCAAAATGACATTGACATTTCAAACCGGAAGTGATTGTATTTCCATTAATATCAAAGATAAATAAGTCGTGTTTGTACTCATTTTAAAGGATTTTTCACGACGATTACAAATATGTCAAAATTGACGTTGACATTTGAAGTTGTTTAGTTGTGAATTAAATAAAATATATCCTTATAACCTCTTTTTAAGGATAAATATACAAAACGTGTTTCCAATTGAGGTTGTTTAGTTGTGAATTAAATAAAATATATCCTTATAACCTCTTTTTAAGGATAAATATACAGAACGTGTTTCGTTATGAAAGTGATGGAAATGAACTGAAGTTTTATTAAAATGTAAACAATAATAAATTTTCATGACAACGCCATGGTATAATGATTTTACAAATATTTTAATTTAACATCAGGTGGGTTCTGTGACGGTAACGCCACAACATTCTTAACCAGAAGTTCGTTATCATAATATACAGTGTGACTCATTTGAAAGCGGTACACCCTCGAAAAATCTGTATTTAATACCGGATTTTTGCCCATTATGTATGGAATATTGTATATATCTTGGTAAGTATCAACTTTATAAAAAAATATTTTATACAAAAGTTGTTTAATATTTTATTTGCCACAATAAGACAGCATTCAATTGTTCTTATTTCAGAAAACAAATGAGCAACGAATAACACTTGAAGTATTTTTAAATGGCAATGTACTCTTTCGTTAGGCTCATTTTCTTTCTCTTTACGAAAACGTAAAATTTAAGTACCCTTATATCAGAAAATTTTTGAAAAAAATGTAAAAATTGTTTATTAAGAAAATTTAACTAATAACATTAATCTAGATATCCGAGATCGTCAAGTACCTCGAATTATGGGAGATGTACACTAATTTTTCGTTTATTTCTTTTATTTTGTATGTAAATTAAATGTACGGTAATAATTCGAGGTACTTGACGATCTCGGATATCGAGATTAATGTTATCGATTTATTTTTATTAATAAACAATTTGTACAATTTTTTCAAACATTCTCTGATGTAAGGGTACAAAAATTTTACGTCATCGTAAAGAGAAAAGTAATTTCTATCAAATGAACCTAACGAAAGGGTACATTGCCATTTAAAAAAATTCAAGTGTTATTCGTTACTCATTTGTTTTCTGAATTAAAAACAATTAAATGCAGTCTTATTATGGCAAATAAAATATTAAACAACTTTTGTATAAAATGGTTTCTTATAAAGTCAACATTTACCGAGATATATACTATATTCCATACATAATGGACACCCTGTATTTTTAATTATCTGTAACGGTGTTAATTTCTAACAATTTTTGATGAAATTTGGTATATGCTCATTCCAATGTCACCAACTTAAACTGGTTCCATAAAATGTTACTAAAATCTCATTACAGCATCGGATGCTGTAAGGCGTCTCATTACACCACCCGTTTTAGTACTGTAATAAATTTCATTACCGTCGCGAATTACAAAAAAGTTTTTTATGATTATTAATAATTAAATTTTTCAGGTTATCGAATTGGTTTCATATTTTGGCCCATTAATTTACGCGGGATGTTTCGCGGCTACTTTATCATCAGCTTTGGCTTCTTTAGTATCAGCGCCGAAAGTATTTCAAGCTTTGTGCGAAGATAAATTGTATCCGTACATATTTTGGTACGCAAAGGGGTACGGCCAAAACAACGAACCCGTTCGAGGGTACATTTTAACGTTCGTTATTGCGATGGGATTTATTTTAATCGGGGAATTGAACTTAATCGCCCCGTTAATTTCGAATTTCTTCTTAGCCGCGTACATGTTAATCAATTTCTCTACATTCCATGCCTCTTTAGCTAAACCGGTCGGTTGGAGACCTACCTTTAAATATTATAATATGTGGTTGAGTTTATTGGGGGCGATAATGTGCGTTTTGGTGATGTTTTTGATTTCGTGGTGGACCGCTTTAATAACATTCGCGGCCGTTTTGGCTCTATATCTAATTGTGTCGATAAGAAAACCCGCTGTTAATTGGGGATCAACAACTCAAGCCCAAATTTATAAAAACGCACTTCAAGCTGTGCATCAATTAAACTCGGTTGAGGATCATGTTAAAAATTATCGGCCACAAATTTTAGTTTTATCTGGGATGCCAAGCGCTCGCCCTGCTTTAGTGGAAATCGCACATTTATTAACTAAAAATATTTCAATGTTAGTTTGTGGCCATATTAACGCAGTAAGTTAAAAAAATTACCCATTATACATCTAAATTAAATTTTGATGTTTATTTATTAATTTAGAGCCCTTTACACCAAAGAATAAGAAATTTGTTAAATTACAAAGCAAACAGTTGGTTGAGAGCTTTAAAAATAAAAGCTTTTTATATGCAAGTTGATGGGTTATCGTTTGAAGAAGGTGCAAGGGCTTTATTAAAAGCGTCTGGAATTGGGAAATTAAGACCGAACATTTTATTAATGGGACATAAATCGGATTGGCAAAAATGCCCAAAAGAAGATTTAGATCAATATTTCGAAGTTTTGCAGTAAATATATCAAAAGAAATCACCTCAATTATTTTAATAATATTTTTTTTAGTACATCATTCGATTTACATTTAAGTGTTGGAATTCTTCGTATGCAAAACGGTTTAGATTTTAGTGAAAAAACTGAAGACGGTGATAATCTCCCAAGAAACGCTTCATACAGTCAAATATCGCAAGCAAGCAGTAACAGCGATATTTACATCCCGGAAACTCCGCGATCTCGTACTAAAGAAAACACGATCAGTACTTGTCCTAATCCAGAGGAAGAGGATGGATTAAAAAAGAAAAATTCGGTTACAGATGAAGGTGGTGATGATGAAGAAGAATCGATTACGAAAGATAAATTGGAAAGGATGTTTCCGTTCCAAAAGAAACAGAAAAAAACGGGAACGATTGATGTTTGGTGGTTGTACGACGATGGTGGATTAACTTTATTATTACCGTACATTATTTCAACGCGAAGGAATTGGAACCACTGCAAATTAAGAGTGTTTACTTTAGCCAATAAAAGAGATGAATTAGAAATCGAACATATGAATATGGCCAGTTTATTAAGCAAGTTTAGAATCGATTACTCGGATTTGCAGATAGTTCCAGATATTACCAATAAACCGGCTGATGAAACACAAACATTTTTCGAAGGATTAATTGAGGATTTTCGTAAACCAGATAATGGTAAATACATAATATTAAAATCTATTTTAATAATGTTTTTATTTTTAGAATTGATTACTGAATCGGAATTATTAGCAGTGAAAGATAAAACAAATAGACATATGAGATTAAGAGAGCTTTTATTGGAATATTCCCACGAAGCTAGTTTGGTGGTAATGTCATTACCAATGCCGCGTAAGAATATAGTTTCAGCTCCGCTTTATTTAGCTTGGCTGGAATTATTAACGAAAGATATGCCACCGATTTTATTGGTCCGAGGGAATCAAACGTCGGTTTTAACCTTTTATTCTTAAATGAAGGTATTTTTTATATAATACGGGTGGTTTTTTTGTGTAGTACAAGTCGATGTCTTCATGCTGGACATGATCATATTAATTAATTATTCAATTTTTTTATTTTTATCTTATTGTGCACCGATTTATAGTATTTTTTACCACAATTATAATTATATCTAACCTTATTTTGTAATGTTATGTATTCTTTTTTGTAACAAAACGTTTCTGGTAATATGTTTTTCTTTCTTCTACAATACAATTTTCTGTTTAAATAAGAATAAACAAAAACATTATTACTGTTTGTATTGTTATATTCTAATAAATACAAGACTGATCTTATAATTAAGTATTTAGCTAATTGTAAATCAATAAATTAATTTTTAATATTTTTGTGTTAAATTGGTTGCCTAACTTCGTTTATTAAACACCCCTCATTAAAATAAAATTAACCCCGTAATAACAAAAAGTTTCATGCTTTTATACAAACAAATACAATTTAATGTATTTCTGATGTATACAAACCACTATATCTCTCAAAACAACCCGACCCATAACAATACATAATAATGAAGGTAAAACATCCAAAAAATTTTCCTCAATTAACCCAAATATTGCATACAACATCATCATTATTGATTCATCAACATTTTGATTCATCTTCGAGTCGATTACGTTCGAGTTCTAAATGGAAATTAATCATATTATTGATTTGCCTTTCTTGGTCAACCTTCTACATTTTTACAACGCGTTTAAAGGTAGCTTACGTTTATGTGAATGATGTTTTCATTGAAATATTAATAGACGCCTTAGATTCGTTGTTTATATACTTGGTAAATATCTCAATGACCGCAAATATGGGGCTCATAAATACCGATCAATTCAATGCGGCTTTAAACCAATTAATACAAGTCGATGAGATTTTGGAGATTTATCAAAAAAATGATTTCGAAAAAGGATTTGTGATCAAATTGGTTATTGTAATTTGTTTATATTTGGGGGTAATAACAATTAACGGATGGTATTTTTATAAACAAGGTGTTTTAATTTGCTTGAATTACATGGTTGATTTTGTGGGGAAAGCTCAAGCGATATTAATAATGTTTATGATGATAACTTGTATAAACGAAGTCTCAAATCGTTTAAAAACGTTAAATATCTTGCTTAAAGATCGTTTAAAAAGCGATGTTTTAAACTGGATCGAAATTGACATGAAAAATTATATCAAATCTTTCACTTTAATCTACGAATCGACTGAAAATTTTAATAAAGTCTTTGGTTGGACTATTTTATCGTATTACTTATCGTCACTTACAAGTATCTTAAAGCTCGTTAATTTCAGCTTTGAATTCAAAAAGAATACAATAACAATTCCTCAATTTCTTTTGGTGGCTTTTATGTCCACCGGAGTTACTTTGATTTTTGAATGTTGGTTCATTGGATGTTGTAGTAGCATTAAAAAAGATGGAAAGGAGATTATTTCCATCGTTTTAACATTCCGCGAAAAGTTGGAAACAAAAAAATTCGCAAATTTCGATAGGATACAAGAAGATTTAGTTTTGATGATGAATCAAGCGCAAAATTACTCACCCATAATTTCCGCACGTGGCTTTTTCGATTGCGAGTATAAAATTTTATACATTTCTTTTGAAATAGCTACCACACAAACATTAACGTTGTTACAACTTAAGTAATTATAAATTTGACGTTCAGATAACCTAAAAATGTGAAATTTAAAAGTAAGCGCGCCCTCTATGTATTAAAACGTCAAGTTTATATAATAAAATTAAAATTTTATTATAAATTTAAAGAAATTTCTTTTTAATTATTTATAAATGAACGTAATTAGTAATAAAAATCTTAACTCTTATCGTACACGATTTTTTTTAATCAAAATTACAACCTTTGCAACATAACCTCAAAGTTAACTATCCCATTTCAAATTAATTACGAAGCTTAAGTAGCGGATATAATCCGTAGTTCGCAACAAGATATCTAACCTTTTTATGTAATGTTATGTATTCTTTTCTGTAACAAAACGTTTCTGGTAATATGTTTTTGTTCTTCTACAATACAATTTTCAGTTTAAATAAGAATAAACAAAAACTTTATTACTGTTTGTATTGTTATATTCTAATAAATACAAGACTGATCTTATAATTAAGTATTTAGCTAATTGTAAATCAATAAATTAATTTTTAATAATAATTTTGTGTTAAATTGGTTGCATAACTTCGCTTATTAAATACCCCTCATTAAAATAAAATTAAATAATAACAAAAAAGTGTCATGCTTTTGATGTTGTAATAACATCAAGAAAGATGGAAAGGAGATTATTTCGATCGTTTTAAGATTCCGCGAAAAGTTGGAAACCAAAAAATTCGTTAATTTCGATAGGATACAAGAAGATTTAGTTTTGATGATGAACCAAGCGTAAAATTACTCACCGATCATTTCCGCACGTGGCTTTTTCGATTGCGAGTATAAAATTTTACACATTTCTTTTGAAATAGCTACCACACAAATATTAACGTTGTTACAACTTAAGTAATTATAAATTTGACGTTTAGATAACCTAAAAATGTAAAATAAAAGTAAGCGCGCCCTCTATGTATTAAAACGTCAAGTTTATCTAATAAAATTAAGATTTAATCTTAAATTTAAAGAAATTTCTTTTTAATCATTTATAAATAAACGCAATTAGTAATAAAAATCTTCACTCTTATCGTACACGATTCTTTTTAATCAAAATTACAACCTTTGCACCATAACCTAAAAAACAATAACATAACCCCAAAATTAATTACTTCACTTCAAATGAAGTTTTACGAAGCTAAAGTAGCGGATATAATCCGTAGTTCGCAACGAGATGATAATTTTGTAAATGAACTCCAAAATTATTTAACATCAATCATAAAATCGTTCGGAAATCAAAATTATAATCGATTGAGAAAATTGATTCCTCCAATATCCACCGCTTGGTACTATTTGTTTACTTCCGTTTCAAATTTGCAAACTTTAGGTGAAGAATATACTGGGACGATTCGATTGGATGGTACACAAAAGATTCCTGCAAAATACTGGCAAATTTTATGGTTGATTCTATACGTTGGTGGTGAACCCATTTTAGATAGGACTTTGCAACATTTGGAGAAAAAAACCAGTAAAAATTACGAATTAAAAGATGAAGCAAGAAGATTTATTTTAAAAAACATTAAATTCGTTAAAAATAATAAAGAATTGTTTATTCGTTTACACCAGAGTTTATTTTATATAAACGGAGCTTATTATAACATTTCAAATCGATTAACAAGCATCAGATATGTAAGTAAAATCAAATTTGTAGGTTCTTTTTAAATCTTTTTTGTAGGTTTTAGTAAGGCAATGGTTACAAAATGATGCAGCAACCCAAAGTTTTAGTATTTTGGGTAAAATTTCGTTTTTCTACACCATTTTTTGTCTCATTCGTAATTATATCAATGAGGGAAACAATTTGTTAACAGAGACTTTATTCGATGTAGCTGAAAATGGGAAAATATGCGTTTTATGTACAGAGAATCGACACAATACTTGTTCGACACTTTGTGGGCACTTATTTTGCTGGACTTGTATCTTTGACAGTTTGAAGTTTCAAAAAGCTTGTCCCATTTGCAGGGAAATTATAAATCCAAGTAGAATTATATTTTTACAGAATTATTCTTAAATATTAAACATTTGTTATAAGATTAAATTTGTTGGTTTTTATACGGAAATAAAGTTTTTAAAAAAAGTTACCTGTAATTTTTTTTTTCCAGCGTAACCTGCCAAAAAACCAAAGGCGAAAAATCAGCAGTCTACTGTGCAAGTGATGCAACAAAGAAGGGAGATAAGAGGTTAAAAATGTACCACCACTTTAGAAATAAGAAAGATTAATAAGCAGGTGTTAAGGGCCATCAGGAGAGATCTTAGAACTTATAATAAAGAGAAGATTGAACAAACTATACAGGAAAATAATAGCTTAAAGGTTTTGCGCAGAAAACTGGATATTGGGAGAACAGTGATAATCAAAATTAGACACAAACATGGAAGAATAATAGCAAATAGAGCATTTTTACCAGCTGCTGTACAATAATCGGCGGGATAAGAAAATGAAGTTAGATCCAAAACTACACAAACTATCAGTAGAAATGGGCATTACAAACCAAGGATCTGAAAAAATGCCAGATATTCCTCTAAGAAAGACAAGAAATAATAGAGCACCGGGAGAAGGTTCTGTGGCCTTTAATCTCACGATTTGACATATACTTCTCACGATTTGACATATACTTCTCACGATTTTATTATAAAAATAATATAATAATTAGTGTTAATAAAATCATAGCATTTTCAACTCGAATTGTAGGTTACTGTAAATTTCTTTATTAGTTACATCTATTCGCCGCTAGATGGCTCTAAGAAATTACCTTAAACTAATATTTTCTTTTCTTTTAATTATGTCACTTTTATATACAAATGTTGTCTGAAGTATTTTACTTGAATCCTATACCTACATGTAACACATATTATTAATATTAAGTGATTTTTAAACAAATTTCAACATCTCACGATTTTTTATGACATGGCTCACGACATTCTATAGTTCGTTTTTTTTCTATAATACTTGTCAATGTAACTTTTAGGGTTTCTGTTGGTATTATCTAGGACCCTTATAAAATTTATATTGTTTTCCTGATTTTTAGTAACATTTTCAATAACTAAATAGTTAAGGTTAAAATACTAATACATTTTTAGATAAATACGATTTTAACGAAGTACATATTTATTGTAAAAGCGTTTTTTATGCACCTTTTCTTTTTGAATAACGAAAGCTCAAACGTCAGTGTGACATATCTATTTCAAAACATGATAAAACAAAACTCCCTGTTTATTATAGAAAAAAAATGAACTATAAGCAACTTCCGATTTAAATTGTCAATGTCATTTTGACATATTTTTAATTTTTATAAAATGTCTTAATATTTGTCACAAAAACAAAAATATCATAAAAAAAATTAAAAATTAAGGTTGGTATTAATATTTAAAAATTAAATTGCATCTTCATTGTTGCTAACTTCGGGTTTATTGTTTTTTATTCTAACTTTTTTGTTTTTTAGGATAAATGCGTCCTGTTTGGACTCATTTTAAAGGTTTACAAATATGTCAAAGTTAACATTGACGTTTCAAACCGGAAGTGATTGTATCTCCATTAATATCAAAGTTAAATATGTATGTCGAGTTTTAAATAATTTTTATGAAGTTGACAAATATGTCAAAATAATAGTTGAAAGTTCGAACTTTTTGGTATTTTGAGAGAAATGCGTCATGTTTGGGATCACATTGAGCTATATCGAGGTTTTAGTATAATGACAAATTATATTGACATGTTCAATATATATCTGGTTTTAAAACTCCCGCCAAAAAATAGCTTTGTAAACGTAACTTTTCATTTTACTCCTCCGAATTAAAAAATAGCGTATAAATGAAATAAATCATCAATAATCTATGAAATTTCTACTACCATTTTTGATTAATCCGTGATTTTCTAATTTTTCGGTGGGTATTCGAATGATACGAAGTTTGCACATTGTACATAACCTCAAAATTAAATTCGATTAGATTTCTTTAATAAAAATATATGGTTCTTTTAAAAACTGTTTAATAGATGTCTCTACTGTTAAAAAAACGCGAGATGAAGCAATCACTAAGAAAAATGTATGTCAAAATGTCAAGCGAGGAGAAAAATGCAGGTTATTTGCCACCTGGACAAAATGCCACACAACCCATCTTCGAAAATGTCTACGTCTACATCCGAGTGAATCAAAAAAATTAAATAATTTCACTCATTTTTATCCAAACAAAATCGGAAAACAACACCTAAAAAGACAACAAAAAAATCTTTAGATGGTATTTATCGAGTGATAACGGTACTTTTTATTTTACATTATTTTTACATAAACCAAGTGAAAGGAATCATGAAGCAAGGTACGAAGGGGATTTATTATTATTTTTTTCCAAAAATATTCTTAATTTATTTTTTATTTAGAAACGAGTAATACTTTGAAATATGTTAGTTTGGTGACTTTAACTGTACAAAATGCTTTATTGGGACTTAGTATGCGATATGCAAGAACTAGAGATGGAGATATGTTTTTATCATCAACAGGTAAAAATCACCTCTAAATTTTAACATTTTAAGTTTTAAAAATATATCATTTTTTAGCTGTTCTTATGTCGGAACTTGTCAAACTAATAACATGTTTATGCATCGTTTACATTCAAAGTGGAGGAATAGTCGGTTTATTAACATCGTTAAGAGACACGATAATTCACCAACCAATGGATACTTTTAAAATTTGCGTCCCATCTTTATTATACATCATCCAAAACAATTTACTTTACGTTTCTGCTTCTCATTTAGATGCAGCAACCTATCAAGTGACTTATCAAATGAAAATATTAACAACTGCAATATTTGCGGTTATTATTCTAAGAAAGCAACTTTTAAAAACCCAATGGATATCACTTTTAACACTAGTGATCGGCGTTGTTTTAGTACAATTGGCTCAAACTGGGGAAGATCCCAAACATTCGACTGAGCAAAATAAATTAATTGGATTTTTAGCGGCACTTTCAGCTTGTTGTTTATCGGGATTTGCTGGAATTTTTTTTGAAAAGATGCTAAAAAGTAGCGATATCACCGTTTGGATGAGAAACGTCCAATTAAGTTTATGTTCAATTCCGTTTGGACTCCTAACTTGTTATATTTCTGATGGAAATGTCATAAAAGAACGAGGTTTCTTCTTTGGATACGATCGATTCATACATTATTTAATTTTATTACAAGCTGGAGGTGGTTTAATTGTTGCTGTTGTTGTAAAATACGCCGATAATATCCTAAAAGGATTCGCCACATCTTTAGCTATTGTGATATCATGTATAGCTTCGGTTTACATTTTTGAATTTGTTTTAACATTTCAATTTGCAATCGGAGCGGGTTTCGTTATATTTTCAATCTTTTTATATGGATACACTCCTACTAAATCAACAGTTATTACTGCACCTGCTTATAAAGTGTAAGTTTATAATCTAATTTATACTTTTTAAAACCATTATTATAAGTATTATTATTGTATATGTTTATAAGCTTTTTGTTTTTGTAATCTGATGCGCAATAAATTTTAATTTAAATCTTAATGCATTTTTAGGCATAAGTAACCCAAAAATACAAGAAATCAAAGTATAAACCTGAAGATCAACCTACGAACAAAAAGATTTGTTACAAAACATGTATTATATATTCCAATTTATTATTAATAAATATTTTACTCTGTTTAAGCTGGGTTTATACCGCAATTCAATTAAATTTCCTTTCTATATTAAAAGGTTTAATTCAAATCATAACCTAAAAAATTTATATCCGCAACCAACATTACACCTAATTGTATCTCAAATACGAACAAAAAGATTTGTTACAAAACATGTATTATATATTCCAATTTATTATTAATAAATATTTTACTCTGTTTAAGTTGGGTTTACACCGCAATTCAATTAAATTTCCTTTCTAAATTAAAAGGATTAATTCAAATCATAACCTAAAAAATTTATATCCGCAACCAACATTACACCTAATTGTATCTCAAATACGAACAAAAAAATTTGTTACAAAACATATATTATATATTCCAATTTATTATTAATAAATATTTTACTCTGTTTAAGTCGGGTTTACACCGCAATTCAATTAAATTTCCTTTCTAAATTAAAAGGATTAATTGAAATCATAACCTAAAAAATTTATATCCGCAACCAACATTACACCTAATTTTATCTCAAATACGAACAAAAAGATTTGTTACAAAACATGTATTAAATATTCCAATTTATTACTAATAAATATTTTACTCTGTTTAAGTTGGGTTTACACCGCAATTCAATTAAATTTCCTTTCTAAATTAAAAGAATGAATTCAAATCATAACCTAAAAAATTTATATCCGCAACCAACATTACACCTAATTGTATCTCAAATACGAACAAAAAGATTTGTTACAAAACATGTATTAAATATTCCAATTTATTACTAATAAATATTTTACTCTGTTTAAGTTGGGTTTACACCGCAATTCAATTAAATTTCCTTTCTAAATTAAAAGAATGAATTCAAATCATAACCTAAAAAATTTATATCCGCAACCAACATTACACCTAATTGTATCTCAAATACGAACAAAAAGATTTGTTACAAAACATGTATTATACAGAGATGAGTCAGAAAGAATGGGAAATCCGTATACCGGAGACACTAGACACCTAAATATGTGTATACCTAACATCTCTTATACAAATGTCGGTGGTTTTCAAGGCACAGGGTGTTGAAAATTAAATTCTTATTTCGAAATTTCTTAATAATTTTGAAGCTTTTTGTACTATTAACATAAAATAGAGACAAAATGATAAGTCTAACCAGTTTCGACCCTTGGCCATCTTCGGAGACCCTAGAAATAGATTAACATCCCTCATCCTATCCATTTTACAAACAAGTTACTCAATATTTCTTTTTCTTTTGTTAAAAAAGATCACATATCAAAGTCGATATCAGATTATTAGTTGCTAATTTACAAAATTAAAGTTTAAAAGTTGTAAAATGAAATTAAGGACGAGGTGTTACTACTTTATAGGTTAAAATTAAAGAACGTACTTTTTTAATAAAAGAAATATAAGGAAACTTGGGAAAAATTCAAAAATCATGTGGCTTAAAAATCGACGATTTTTTTTAATCAATGTGAAATGACTTTTAAAGGTTTTTTTAATAAAGAATACATCATGAAGTTGTCCATTTGTCCATTATATGATAACTAACTTCAGGTTTAAAATGTCAACCTCAATTTTGACATATTTATAATCTCCATTAAAAATCCTTAAAAATAAGTACAAGCACGACATATTTATCTTCAATATTAATGAAGTTATGATCAACTTCCGGTTAAGAATGTCAACCTCAATTTTGACATATTTGTGATCGTCGTGAAAAATCCTTTAAAATGAGTCCAAACATGATACGTTTAATTCCAATATTACTCGAGATATAAGCAACTTCCGGTTTGAAATGTCAATGTCATTTTGACATATTCTTAATTTTTATAAAATGTCTTAATATTTGTCACAAAAACAAAAATATAATAAAAAAAAAATAAAAAATTAAGGTTGGTATTAATATTTAAAAATTAAATTGCTATCTTCATTGTTGCTAACTTCGGGTTTAATGTTTTTTATTCTAACTTTTTTTGTTTTTTGAGATAAGTGCGTCTTGTTTGGACTCATTTTAAAGGATTTTTAATGAAGATGACAAATATGTCAAAGTTGACGTTGACGTTTCAAACCGGAAGTGATTGTATTTCGATTTTAAGGGTTAAATATGGCGAGTTTGGACTCATTTCAAAGGATTTTTATGAAGTTGACAAATATATCAAAATTAAAAATTGAAAGTTCTACCGCTGTTGTTTATAAAATAGATAAGATGAGAGATGCTAATCTATTTGTAGAGTCTTTAAAGATGGCCAAGGGCCGAAACTAGTTAGACTTAAATTCTAAATAAAATATAAACAAACTTTTAATTTTATAGAAAAGACACTGGTCGAAATTGTAGGTTCATCTATTATATCTATTGCAGAATGTCTTGGTGTATCTAAATCGGTTCAGTTAAGTGATGTATAGCGCGGTCTAATTAATAAATACTTTATTCTGTTTAAGTTGCGTTTATACTGCAATCCAATTCTAAATTAAAAGGATTAATTTAAATCATAACCTAAAAAATTAATATCCGCAACCAACATTACAGCTAACTGTATCCGAAATAAAATAGGTTATAAGATCACGCATGCGCTTACCATCCCAAATTCACTCTTCAGACACATGACTCACTGTTTTTTATCGCCGTTTTCTTCCTGTCCTTTCATTTTATATTAAAAACACAGCTGATGATCAAAAATTTCGTTTTTTATAACCGGGCCCCCATAAAATGCTGTGATTAACTCTTAAGACTTGTTGAAACTCGCGTACGTGTGCTCGACTGTGTTGTTGATTGTCGTTTGTTTATGTGCTCAACATGAAACGCTAACTTGGATGCCATGAAATGTACGATCTTGTTTGTTTTGAGGTTGAGGCCCCTTTTTAAGAGGGCCCCCTGAAAAATGGTTTTGTTATTGGTGGCGATTTGTTTAAGTATGGTCATGATTGTCGCGTTGTGTTCCTGTTGGCGGCGCGAACAACAAAAGTAAATTTAAATTTAGAAAATCGATTTTTTTTTTTAGATTTTAGGTTATGTCCCTTTTTCACTTTTTCCTTATTTATGTTGAAATTTTCCTTTCTTTTTGATAGAAACGAATGGCACGGCTTAGATGGCATGGTTACCCCTAAAAATCCTGACGAAAATGTAAACCATCTTCCTTCTATAGCGGAAGCAACCGAACTTGACGAAAATTTGAGGTTATTTTGTTATTTAAAAAAAAATAATTAATAATAAATCTAAAAATTGTTTCTTTTTTGTGTATTCGAATTAATATTGAGTATTTATTATCTATTTAATAGAGCAACAACAATCACAAAAACGCGAAGAAGTCTTCCTGACATTCCATCGGAAAATCGTACGGAAGCCCACAACCAATGGACTGAACAATCTGGTGATAACACTTCAGATTTATACGCGACTGTTGAGCATTATTCTAATACAGCAGGTTAGAAAAAAATTTAAAAAAATTAATTTATAAAAATATAACCTCATTTTTTTGTGTAGCTAAAAGACATACGCTTCCAAATGGGATCGATTCAAGACCAAGTATATCGCAACATAGCTCGATAAGTCAAGCTGATGAAGCCCCATATGCTCGAGTAAACTACGATAAAGTGAAAAAAGAGAATCCTTACGCTAGGGTACAAAATAATCACGCCGAAATGGATGAGAACAGTTCTGATGACACCGGTTTGTTGAGGCCGTCGACGTCCCAAGCACACGATCCAATCGCGCCGCCAAGATCTCGACGAACCTCGGCTAATAGCACAAATGGAATTGAAATTCCGGCAGCTACGGCGGTTGCGGGTGGAATTGCAGCTAATGTTGAGTTACCATATATGACCCCACCGATTAGTCAAGCAAATTTTAGCGGGGATTCACAAGATTCATCAAGTAAAAAAATTATTTTTTAATTAAAAAGCATTTTTTTATCATTCTTTTTTAGAGGGTTATACAAGTATTAGTGTCCGAGAACCTTTAGAGAAAATTCGAGCCCAAACTAAGCAAGTTACAAAGTTGAGAGATTTCGATCCGCATTATTCTACAGTTTCCGACGATTCAGGTAATAGTATATTAAAAAACTAGTTTCGTAAAACACACTTGAAATGCACAAATTTAACCTTAAAAACGAGTGGCGAAGCCAGCGAGTGCTTTAAGTCTTATGAAACGTCTTTTTTATGCTATTTTTTGTAATTCGCGGTTTCATCCTTACAAAAATTAAATAAAAAATAAATAAATTTTGACAATGTAGGGAAATAGGTATGTTGCAGTTGGTAACACTTGAAAATAGAAATTTGAATTGACACTTGACTAAGCGACATTGACATTTTATCGTTTTTGGTATAATAAAATTGTGGTGATGGATAAGCAAGAGAAAGTAAAAAGATCAAAATCAAAAAAACTTGCTGATAGATTTGGCAAACAAATATAAAAATGTTATAGAAAATAAATAATGATCTAATAATTAAAAAAAATAATAATAATATAATCTAATATACAGGTGTTTCTAAATTGATGCGAAAGATTTTAAGGGGTGATTTTTCAGCGAAAATTAAGTTACAAAATTCTCCTCCAAGTTACAGCCCTCTAAAATTAGGGGAAAAAATTCTTTTTCTTTAATAAATTCCACTATGGAGGAATTTGAAAAAATCAACCCCATAATACTTTGCATTAGAACTTTTTAATACGTCTACATTTTTCTATTTAAAAACTTGATTTAAATAGTACTATTCAATACGCAACTTTTTTGTCTCTTGACGTTTTCGCCTAAAATTGTTAGTTTGATCACAAAAAAATAAAATAATACACAGGCTCAGGTGAATTAATTCAGAGATTGGTTATTACTCCTATTAGTCAAAGAAATGAAGTTATGTCAAATTAATCTCAGCATTATTTTATTTTTTGTGATCAAAATAACAATTTGTTAGTTGCAAAATATCAAGAGATAAGAAAGTTGCAGATTTTTACCCTTAAATTTAGAGAGTTATAACTTGGAGGAGAAGGGGTGTTGACCAAAAAGTTATATTAATTTTCGTTGAAAAATCATCCCATAAAATCTTTCGCTGTAGAACGAGAACTATAAACATTCGGGTTTAGTCGTGAAAAAAACTTTCAGTTGTCAATGTCAACTTTAATTTTATTATTATATTCGTAATCGTCATAAAAAATCCTTTAAAATGAGTCTAAACTCGACATATTTAACTTTAATATTAATGGAGATACAATCACTTCCAGTTTGAAACGTCAACGTCAATTTTGACATATTTGTCATCTTCATTAAAAAACCTTTAAAATGAGTCCAAACAAGACGCACTTATCTCAAAAAACAAAAAAGTTAGAATAAAAAACATTAAACCCGAAGTTAGCAACAATGAAGATAGCAATTTAATTTTTAAATATTAATACCAACCTTAATTTTTTATTATATTTTTGATTTTGTGACAAATATTAAGACATTTTATAAAAATTAAGAATATGTCAAAATGACGTTGACATTTCAAACCGGAAGTTGCTTATATCTCGAGTAATATTGGAATTAAACGTATCATGTTTGGACTCATTTTAAAGGATTTTTCACGACGATTACAAATATGTCAAAATTGACGTTGACATTCTTAACCGGAAGTTGACCATAACTTCATTAATATTAAAGATAAATATATCGTGTTTGTACTCATTTTAAAGGATTTTTAATGAAGATTCTAAATATGTCAAAATTGAGGTTGACATTTTAAACCTGAAGTTGGTTATCATATAATAGATGTATTATAACTGAAGTTAATCTAGTGTTAGTCACTTTTCCGCACTTTCAGTGTTAGTCATCTTTTTTAACAAAAGAAAAATTAAAAAACTTGTTTGTAAAATGGATAAGATGAGAGTTGTTAATCTATTTATAGAGTCTCTAAAGATTTCCGAGGGCCTAAACTAGTTAGACTTAAATTCTATATAAAATAAAAACCAGTTTAAAAATACTAAATCAAACTTTAAATTATTTTCTTCAAAAATTTTTACACGAATCATCATTTTGACTCTAGTATTTGTGGTTAAATTTATGCTACGACTTACAGAAACACCTGTATAATCGTAAAACATACCAAGCGGCTTCTGTGCTTGTGATAGCTGTCATCAGTGTTCTGCGATAAAAATAGGCAGGCACCAAACGATTTTCAATAGTTTGAACCTGTCTATTCTGAGAAGTCTTATATTTTTAGAGAGAGATGAAAACGAAAATCTTGTTTTTCTCAACATTTTTCATTTGTCCCTTAGTCAAGTGATGCATAACGCGATCCAATTGATCTCGTTTTTCAGAAACTGTGCAACAAGTGCAATTATCTTTGTTATTATTATAGGTGGAGTATTATAACTGAGACATTATATGGACACTTTTACAGAGAATTTGATGACGTAGTCAAAAAANGTTTTAGAATAAAGCTAAAAATAAACTTTTTTTTAGTGTCGTCAAAGAAATTAAATTTACAGTTTCCTGTAAATTACGGTACTATAACTAAAAATTATACTACTAAAAATTTATATAAAATTTCCTTTTTTTCTGACATGTTAAACTTTTCGTAATTTTCGTAATCCATCTTAAAAAACAGGATTTTTAATTTGACACTTCAGAAAATTTTTGAATACAAACAAATGTTGCTATGTTTATTTGAATTTAAAAAATATATATATGAGCGCCATCTATCAATGATTTATTAAGTCAATAATATTAAATATTAATAAAAAATGTGAAATAATGCAAACTATTTCAACTTTTGTTTAAAACAAATATAAATTAAATAGTTCAACAAATGTATTTGTTTCAAATATCAGAAATATGTTTTTTTAATTTTTAGTTATAATTTACAGGAAACTGTAAATTTAATTTCTTTGACGACACTAAAAAAAAGTTTATTTTTAGCTTTATTCTAAAACAATAAGAACTAGACTTGTCAAACCCCATATTTACGAATTTAATAAGCGAATAATCGTTGGTTGTTTCCATTTAAAAAAACGAAAATTGTCATGATATCTGAAAATCTAAAACCGAAAAATTTTTTTTGACTACGTCATGAAATTCTCTATAAAAAAGTGTCCATATAATGTCGGAGTTGTAATACTCCACCTATAATAATAACCAAGATAATTGCACTTGTTGGTTTTACGATATTTTCAATTTTGGCCTCTAGAGGAAAAACAAAAGACGATAGCGCTTTGAGGTTTTCGGCATTAGCAGTTTCTCGAAAAACGAGATCATAACATGTAAGCTACTTTTTTTCTAACTCTTATAGTTTCCGAGTTAGACAAACTGTCACATTGACAACTAGAAAAATTAATGACCCAATGTCGCCAACTTGAACTGGTTCCATAAAATGTTACTAAAACCTCAGTACAGCATCGGATGCTGTAAGGAGTCTTATTACTTTATTATTACTTATTGCTTTCATTACCGTCGCGAATTACAAAAAAAATAATTTAACAAGGAAAATTTATTTTAATTTATGTTTAAACAGATGAAATGTATACAACAATTCAAGACCCAAACAACGAATTATACATGAGTACAAGCGAAACTTACGCCCAAATAATGCCGTTACCAGTTCAAAATTCAACAGAAATCAATTCTAACCTCACCCAACAAAATCCACAACCTTCGACAAGTTCTGAAAATCACGTAGATTCTTCATCTTTACCCCATTTACCAACTGTGGATGGTTTAAAACAAACCCATTCAAGACAAGCATCCTCATCTAGTTCTGTGGGGCTATTAAGTTCTCCAAAACCAGAAAAACGTCAAGCAAACTCACCGTTACCACCTCCACCATCAACCGGAAGTCCCGATTCGCAACGTTCCCCGGTTATAAAAAACTTAGACGATATGTACGCGAAAGTACATAAAAACAGGAAACCGGAAGCTGACGAAAATTTGGTTAGAAGGAAATTGTCAATGGGAAACGGCGAAAAAGTAGGATTTTTCGAAGAAGAAAACGGTAAAAAATCACCAGATCTTCCCGAACACGATTACGAAACATTAAAAAAAGAAAAAGATCCCGATTACGAAAAAGTTAAAGGTGAAGAACCCGGATATGCAAGTATAAATGGTCCTGATAGTTTAGATCCGGGTTATGAGGAATTAAAAAATGCTTCCGATAGCAATAATTACCCGAATTATGAAACTTTGAAGCATCGTCCAGATCAAATTGACGGATACTCGGTAGTTAATAAAAAGAAAAAACCGACCATTAAAACGGAAGCAGAAGATCCCAACTACGAGAGTATGTCAAGTGATCATTACGCAGGCGTGAAATCAACGGATAGCGAGAGTGACCCAAATTATGAAAGTGTTAAATATTTAGATGTCGACGAGCCACCTTACGAGAAATTAAGCGATGAAAAAACCGATGAGACCATTTCAAAGGGTTCGAGAGGGAGTAATAACGATTTATTACCGTATGAGAGGTTAGGTGATGATGGAAAAACGGATTCGGAGTCTTCTGGATACGAAAATATAAAATATGCAGATGGGTATGAGACTATTAAATGCAAAAAAGAAGATCCACCTTATGATACAGTTAATGATACTCGTATTGACGGTGATATTTTTGAGGTGTGAATTTTTAACGATTTTTAAGAAACATCGAATCTGAGAGAAGAGATGGTGCTATAATGAAATGTATTTTGACCCTTTTACGAAAATTTATATTAAAAATTATTCGTTAAAGGGTTAAATGTAGTAGGAGAAATAATTCATTAATATTCGAAGCTTTACTAACTAAAAAATGACTTTATAAATGAGTTTGCAGTATTTGTTGAAGTATTTCTTTTTTTTATATATACATATATACAGAGTTTAAACGCCCTGTATGTTCTGAAGTATTTTTTTTGTATGTTACAACACTAAAAGACTTTTGCTACTTTTTTATATACAACAATCTCTAGTTTTTTTTTATTTGTTTTTCTAATAAAGAAATTTGTGTAATAAGGTTAATTTTTTTTGTACATATAACGGTTTATTTATGTATACGCATTTAAATTTGTTGAAAAAAAATTATTAATACTGTATACACTTATTTATTTAATGTAATATACGCATTATGAAAAAATAAATATTTTTATTACTTAAATAATAAGGTTTAATTTTCCTAAATGTCATTTTAAAGTGCTTTAACAATGTATGGGTCGTTTCATGGACTTTAATTGAGTTGGTTATTTAATTATTAAATTAAAATTAATCAGTCTTAAATGTAAATAAAATAAATTCGATTAATGCGTAACTTTTTCATGCAAATTTCTTTCAGTTTTATAAACTTTCATACTAACCAAATAATCCCTGGCTATTTTAAACAAAGTATAATAATTAAAAAACAATAAAAATACCAACGAAACGATACAATACCAATAAATGGAGCGTACCAATAAGGCCAATTGATAACAAATCAACGAAACTTGCAAAATTAGTAACCAACCCAGAGGAGCTGAAGGATCTTTAAATATAAACTTTAAAAAAAATTGGTTTAATCCCAATTCGAAAAAATAATAAAAATACTTACATAAAACCTCGTAAACGTAGTATTTCCAGGCTCAGCCGCATTTGACTCCCCATACGCTCGATACATTTCTTTCCCATGTCTCACAAGAGCCCCATTAGGCCATAAATAATCTTCCTGCCACGAATAGGCAACCGGTAACACAGATCTTGATTCAATACGATCCCAAAAACCCAAATGCAAAGCCGATCGATGAAGAACGTCGCAATAACGTAACGTTAAAACGTGGATTGTATAAGACATAAAACAACCCAAATAAATAAAAAGAACGTGTTGAGTCACCCAATAAACATCGTAATAAACATAACTCTAAAAAAAAATAATTTTAGGTTATGTCAAATTTTTTAGGTTGTCAAATTTTTATGGTTATGTCAAATTTTAAAATTATTTATATTTTTACCTGAACGAAACAACAAGGAACTAAACCCGCATAATGCGCGTTAAAAATAGAACTAAATAAGATTTGTTTTAGGCGATTATTAAAGTTGGTTTTTAAATTTTCAACTTCGTTTCGAATGTCGGTTGCGTTTGTTGTGCATGCGTGTAATGGGGGTTGCTCGTCCGGGTTCCAACTGATTAATTCGAAGAATGGGACGATTTTAAATCCGAATAATATCACATAAACTACGATCCTGTGAATTAAATTTAAAGTTATTTTTTTAAGAAATAAATGTGCTTACATACGGATAACATAAATAACAAATATACATGATGTGATTTGTTAACATTATCTTGTAAGTGCACCAAGATAACAAAGAAAACATTCCTATAAATAATAATAACCTAAAACAAACAAAGAATTATAACTTTGTAGAATTAGAACGTTAATTTTTACCTAAAAATGTTATAAGAAACGTTAACAAACTTCCCAGGAATAATTCTATCGATTAATTTACACCCCAAAACATACAATAATCTTCTTGCCAAAACAACTCCAATAAACAACACCAAATTTATATCAATCAAATAAAAATTCTATAAATTAAACTTTAATTAGTCTCTTTAACCACATTTTTCTCTATTACTTACAACACTTTGATTTGTATATGAATTCGGTAACCACCAAACGCTTCTATATAAATGAACAAATTGTAATCCGCTAGCCCCCAAAGTAAAAAAATACATCAAAAATTCGAAAAGGATGTCGCTTGATATCGGGGTGTTCGGAAATGGAAAATGTTTCGGCGAAACGGGGTGCTCTAAACCCGGTAAAGTAGGAACGGCGCCCCCCAAAGGTGAATATCTACTACTCGCTAAATCACCGGGTAAAAGTTGCAATGATGGTGTGATTGAGGACCTTACGGTCCTCGGGATTCTTCTACCACCACCCGGCATTTGAAATTTATTCTTAAAATGAAATCAATTTGATAAATCTGTCAAAAATTTGAGGTTAGGTTCTTATAGTTGGGATTTTATCTTTTATGGGTTAAAAAAAAAATTTAATTGTTATAATATTAATTTTGGATTAAAATTATTTTTTAATCAAAATAAAAACGAATAATATTAACAAATTTATTTAAATAAAACAAATTTATTATTTAATTTAATGTTGGTAATTCTAATTTCACTAGTTTTAAATTCAAGATGTCCTAACGAATCTGTCACGTTTGACAACCACATTTTTTAATTATAAGAAAACGTTATTTTTTAAATGAAATCGGTGCTGTGTTAAATCATTGGTTATCATAAAACCATGGCAATGAAGCGGAAAAAGGATTCATCGTAATCTATTATAAACTTGGCCCACGTTAAAATACCAAAGAAATCATGTCTCTTTCGAGTTTGGGGGATGATGAATTAGCCGAAAGACTTCGCACGGAAAACTGTGAGCAATTCAACACGTTAGTACGCATGCATTTATCGTTTGTATTAGATTTAAATACGGATGAAAGTGATGGGTTAAACGAAAAGGGGAAATTAAAAAAATGGTTGTTGACTCCGTTTAAGAAGTCAAAACAAAGATTAGTACCCGAAGGAATTAATTTAACACAAAACGCCATCGATCAAATACGATATTTAATTGAATTTTTAAAAGAAGAGGCTAATATTTGTATTGAGGGGATTTTTCGGAGAACCGGGTCTTTAAATCGACAACAAGAATTAAGGACTTTATTAAATAGTGGGTTGGAAATTAATTTAGAAAATGGACATTATAACGTGCATGATTGTGCGTCTGTTTTAAAAGGTTTTTTATCGGATTTACCTGAACCTTTATTAACGGAAGCTCATTATCCGGTTTATTGCCAAATAGCCCATTTAAAAAGAAGTAACGATAAGTTTAAAGAGGGTACTCGTTTTATGGAGTCTTTGCAACTATTGCTTTTGTTGTTACCCAAAGAAAATAGGATTTTATTAAAATATGTGTTGGATTTGTTAAATTTAACTGCTTCGTACGAAAATTTAAACAAAATGTCAGTTGAAAATTTAGCTACGTTGTATACCCCACATTTGTTGTGTCCCAGAACGATTTCTCCTGAAAATTTGCACACAAATTCGCAAATTTTATCAGAAATCTTAGCTTTTATGATTACAAAGTCTCCGGATTTGTTTCAAGTGCCTAAAAAATTAGCTTTCGATATCCGAGCGTTTTTTGTTGAACAAGAAAAGGAACCGCAACGAAAAAATAATTTTAACGAATCAATTAGTGATAACGTGGCAGCTCATACAGTATTTAGTTTCGTCGATCATGTTAGAACAGCAAAAGAAAACGAAGCGAACCCGACAGAACGAGAATTAGCCCAATTATACGCGTACATTCAAAGTTTACCCGAATCATCGAAGAAAAAGAAGTTGGTTAAACAATTTAACAAAGAAAACGGTTACGGAACACCGTTACAAGTCGTACGAAGTCGAAATCAAAAAAATAAAAGCTTTGGGGATTCTATTAAGAAACATATCTTTCATAAAAGTTTGGTTAAATCCGTTAAAAAGGCGGGGTTTACTCAATTAAGGGCTTCAAATGAAAATAATATTAATGTAAGTAAATATAATTGGATTATACATCACTTGACTAAGCGACAAATGAATAATATTGAGAAAAACGGGATTTATTATACAGGTACTTCAAGTTTGAAATGTCAACCTCAGCTTTGACATATTTGTAATCTTCATTAAAAATCCTTTAAAATGAGTACAAACACGACATATTTATCTTCAATATTAATGACGTTATGGTCAACTTCCGGTTAAGAATGTCAACGTCAATTTTGACATGTTTGTAATCGTCGTGAAAAATCCTTTAAAATGAGTCCAAACTTGATAGGTTTAATTCCAATATTACTCGAGATATAAGCAACTTCCGGTTTGAAATGTCAATGTCACTTTGACATATTCTTAATTTTTATAAAATGTCTTAATATTTGTCACAAAAACAAAAATATAATAAAAAAAATCAAAAATTAAGGTTGGTATTAATATTTAAAAATTAAATAGCTATCTTCATTGTTGCTAACTTCAGGTTTAATGTTTTTATTCTAACTTTTTTTGGTTTTTTGAGATAAGTGCGTCTTGTTTGGACTCATTTTAAAGGGGTTTTTAATAAAGAATACATCATGAAAGAAAACCATGAAGTTGTCCATTTGTCTAATATATGATAACTAACTTCAGGTTTAAAATGTCAACCTCAATTTTTAAATATTTGTAATCTTTTCATATTTTAAACATTTATCTTCAGAATTAGATATTTTTAAACATTTATATAAAAGGAATGGCTCATCCTGGAAACTTTAAATTTGGTATAAGTTAACCTCAAACTTTCTTTTATAACCTCAAAAAGTTTCATTTCTTAATTCCAAGCCGTTTAGGAGAAATTAATTTTTTTGTATAACCTCACTTTCAATAAACGTCAATTTAAATCAGATATTTTTAAAAAGTTATATAAAATAAAGGGCTCACCCTGGAAACTTTAAATTTGGTATAAGTTAATCTCAAACTTTTCTTTATAACCTCAAAAAGCTTCATTTCTTAATTCCAAGCCGTTTAGGAGAAATTAATTTTTTTGTATAACCCCACTTTCAATAAACGTCAATTTGAATTAGATATTTTTAAACATTTATATAAAAGGAATGGCTCATCCTGGAAACATTAAATTTGGTATAAGATAACCTCAAACTTTTCTTTATAACCTCAAAAAGTTTCATTTCTTAATTCCAAGCCGTTTAGGAGAAATTAATTTTTTTGTATAACCTCACTTTCAATAAACGTCAATTTGAATTAGATATTTTAAGCGCTTATATAAAAGGAATGGCTCATCTAGGAAACTTTAAATTTGGTATAAGTTAACCTCAAACTTTCCTTTATAACCTCAAAAAGCTTCATTTCTTAATTCCAAGCCGTTTAGGAGAAATTAATTTTTTTGTATAACCTCACTTTCAATAAACGTCAATTTGAATTAGATATTTTAAGCGCTTATATAAAAGGAATGGCTCATCTAGGAAACTTTAAATTTGGTATAAGTTAACCTCAAACTTTCCTTTATAACCTCAAAAAGCTTCATTTCTTAATTCCAAGCCGTTTAGGAGAAATGAATTTTTTTGTATAACCCCACTTTCAATAAACGTCAATTTGAATTAGATATTTTTAAACATTTATATAAAGGGAATGGCTCATCCTGGAAACTTTAAATTTGGTATAAGTTAATCTCAAACTTTTCTTTATTACCTCAATGAGGTTCGTTCCTTAATTCCAAGCCGTTTAGAAGAAATTAATTTTTCTAAAATCTCTAAAAACGATAAAATGTCGCTTAGTCAAGTGATGTATAACGCGTTCCAATTTTGGTTTAATTTGCTTTAAATGTTGCTTTTGTGTTTATTTTTTTTGCTACTAAAAAAGAATGAAATCGCTTTAATATCATCAACGACAAAAAGAGCTTTGTGTTGCACGAATTTTGAAGAATCAACCAGCGATTTAAGCGAAGCTGAGAGTTGTTCGTTGTTTAAACGGCGACGAAAAAGTAACGATGTTGATAACGATGAAAAAACGAAACTTTTGGGGTCAGATGAAAGCTTATCCGGCGAAAATGGGAAACCTTTAAACTATTTAACGAGTACTCCGGCTTGTAGACAATTAAGAAATGATTTATTGTTTACCCCGGAGAATCAAGATCGAAAATCAATGAGCCCCATCACAAAATCAACACAACATATGTCGAGAGCTATGCAGGTTTGTTTTGTTGCTTAATTAATGTTGCATTTTGTGTTATAATGCTTGCTCATTTGATTTTTAATTAAAACATTTATAATTATTTAAAATAAAACATTATTTTATTAAATTAGGAAACAATGATGACGCCGAGAAGTCGTAAACCAGTTTTAGTAGTTTCTGGAACGAATCTTCATAACATCCCAAAGGCGCCTTCAAATTTAATGTCAAGTTTAGTGGAAGAACAAGAAACGGAAGAAAACGATTCTCTAACAGAAACGTTTAGAGAATATTTATGCTCAAGAAGTATGCTAACTGAATCTCCGAATGATGCTAGTTTTTCAAGTAGAACTGACGATTACAGTTCGAGTGATATCAAAGATTTATCCGCAAGTAAAATGAGTTCGTCCCTTTTACATTGTTTAGATGGAAACGATCCTGATGGTGAGAACGAAAATGCGGAAGAGAAAGAGTTGGTTTTAAAACCAAGGCAGTTTGATGAAAATGGAATGCCTGTTGTGTTTGAAACTTCATTTTAGATTGAATTAAATCATTTTTCGATTTTATTGATGTAAATAGTTTTATACGATTAACTCTTCTTATATTTTAATAATTAAAATGAAGTTTTTTTTTAAATGATTAAGTCGTTTTTATTAAAATATACATCTCAAAAAAGTAAGGTTAGAATTAAAAATATACGTCAAAAAAGTGGGGTTAGAATTAAAAATTTAATCTTCAAGTAAATAACTTAAAATTGAAATAGATCTCTTTATTAGATACATTATATTAAAGAATAGTTTTTATATAAAAATAAGTTTCTTAGAAACTCAAATTCGTTTAATATTTCCATTTTAAAGCTTTCCGCGAGCATTTCAGCTTTGTCTCTTAATATTTTGACAACTTTTTGTGATAAGAGATAATTCCCTTTGTAGAATAGCCTAAAAAAGTAAACATAACCAAAAATTTCTTTTTAATCAGTCTTTCATTTCACTTGCACCCCACGCCCTAACGTCCCTTAAACTAAACTTATTTTTAATATTTGAAGATTTTATGTTTTGAATTCGTGATTTTGACTCCTATAATTTTTGGATTTTATTACTAATTACTTGTTCATTTAAATTCAAATTTATACTGTTTGTAACTGTAACAATAGTTATCTACTTTACCCACAATTCATCTTGTCACTGTGAACTTGAATTTAACCTCTAATATCGAGACTTGATTTATAAAAATTCAATGTTTAACAACAATTTTCTTTTAATAATATCAGGTTCATTCCAATTAACTAGTTAAGTTAATGTGAATATTGTATATGTTTTGCAAAGTTTTAATGTTGACGCGAGTTTAATTTTTAAGTTTTTTATATACATTACTTTCAATGCTACTTTAACCTTAATTTTTTCTAATGTTACTATCTTATATTTTTGTACATTGTAGGGTCTAATCTACTGATGAAGGGGAAGGACCGAAACCAGGTCTAGGCGATAAATTAATAAATTTTCACCAAAGTATCATTACATAATTTTTCTTTTAAAATACTTTCATTTAAAAACTTGCTTGTCTCATTTTTTAATTTATTAATTATAAATTTAATGTAATTAATAAATTATTTACTTAATTTATTTAAAAATTAATAATAACGTTTAATATGGCTAATTTGATTTGATCACTTTTAGGTTGGTCATAATGACCAACCTAAAAGTGATTTGAGTTGTCAACAATAAACTGTCAAAAAAATTATGTCTTAACCTCACTTTTGGAATTAATAGGTTTAGCCATACAATCCCTTTGATGTTAAACGCCGTAATTAATCCACAAGAAACCAAATCGTTAGTTAGTTCATTTAATAGTTGTTGGGGTTGGTTATTAGCGTTTGGTATAACAAAAAGTTTTTTGCTAATTCAAGAAGGAATTGGCCCAGAAGGTGCGTTTTTTATTTATGTGGGATTTATCTTTTTGGGCGCACTATTTATTCGGAGGTTTCTACCTGAAACTAAAGAAAAATCGAACGAAGAATTAATTACTCTTACCTATTTATTGTTTTGATGAGAAATTTGAGGTTATGTTTACTTAATTTCACCCAAGAATCGCAGCGTGCAAAATCAAGAATCATTATGTCGCTTAAAAATCAACGATTTTTTTTAATCGATTCGAAATGGTCCTAAAAACGTTAAAAATAAAAAAAATGTAGAACATACCGAAAAATCACTTTAAAGTTTCGACCGTTTCGACGTGACGTCACAAGCAATGTTGCCATGCACTTTTGTATTAAACGTTAATTTCGTCGATTTTTAAGCCCTCAATTTACTTCAGAAGCTAATCGTGGAATATAAACTGATAAACGGATCATATCGGAAAGATAATTTATAATAAAATACATATAATATAATAAAATAACTTTTTGTGATAATTCCCTTTGTAGAATAACCTAAAAAAGTAAACATAACCTCAAAATTTTTTTAAATCAGTTTTTTATATAAACACTTACTTGTGTTACAATTAATGTTATTTTTTAATTTATTGATTATAAATTTAATGTAATTAATAAATTATTTACTTAATTTATTTGAAAATTAATAAAATTAATTTGATTTGATCATTTTTAGGTTGGTCATAATGACCGTGAGTTGTCAACAATAAGCTGTCAAAAAAATTATGTCTTAACCTCACTTTTGGAATTAATATTTATTTAGAAACGTAAAAAATGTGGTTTTTAACGATATTAACGTATTTTGCGTTTCTTATACAAATCGTTTTCGCTACCGTTTCAATTGGTGGGTTAGGTTTTTTTAATTGTATGATTTGGGTTGTTATTAATTTTTTTTTAGCGAGTGCTCTCTATTATTTAGCCGAATTGGTTGAAGAGTACACCGTAGCGGCTAAAAAATGCGTTTGGTGGATGAATTCGGTTGGGATTTGTTACATTTTATCGATGATTATAAAACAATTTTGATTTTAGTCGGTGTTGATTGTATACGTTTTATTTGGAATTTTCGAAAATTTTCCTTATACGATGATATTAAGTGGGGTGGCAGCTCAAATTGTCCACTTTGTGATATTAATAGACTTCCCCTATGTTACTTTAACATCACCAGCGTTTATTTTAGGAGTGATTTTTATAATTCTTAATCATTACCTTGCTTTTAGTTATTTCGCAAGTGTTTATCACTCATTTTCTGAGGTAAACTTAATAATTACGAGTTTTAAATTGAATTAAGTACGTTTTTTTTGTAGGTATTAGCTTATTTTACGTTGTGTTTGTGGTTGGTGCCCTTTGCTTTGTTCATTTCGTTGTCGGCGAACGAAAATGTTTTGCCCACCACTACAGATCAAGGTTTTTTAATGTTTGAGTGTTATATGAGGCGAATTTATCCTTTTTTGTTTTAGGGAGGGACGTTGTTACGAATTATTTTTCGAAAAAAGGTAAAAAATATAGTTTATTGAGTTTCTTTAACTTTGCAAAAGAAACTTTGTTACCTCAACGTGTTAAAAAAGGTTTTTAATTAAGAAAACTAAGTTATTTATTAAATTTTTCCTTTGTAAATAGTAGTTGTGGTTTGTACTGTTTATATAAATCAATAAAATTTGAAAAAAAATGGTTTAAAAAAAAATCAAAGTTAACAAAGAAATGAAATTGCTATTTTTTGTTTAAAATCGCCTTGGCTCCACAAAAAAACAAACAATAACAACATTAACTGACATAAAAGAATAATCACAAGTTGAAAAATAATTTAAAGAAAATCATGAATTTCCCTCATCACAATAATTATCCCATGGGTTCTCTCTACGTTGGTGATCTTCACCCAGACGTAACTGAAGCGATGCTTTATGACAAGTTCTCAGCGGCTGGCCCCCTTTTATCGTTAAGAGTATGCAGAGACATCGTCACCCGAAGATCACTCGGTTACGCTTACGTTAATTTTCAACAACCCACCGACGCCGAACGCGCATTGGACACAATGAACTTCGATTTGATCAAAGGTAAACCAATTCGAATTATGTGGTCGCAACGAGACCCCTCGTTAAGAAAATCAGGCGTAGGAAATCTTTTTATTAAAAACCTCGACAAAAACATCGACAACAAATCGATGTACGATACATTCTCCGCATTCGGAAACATATTAAGTTGTAAAGTGATGCTCGATGAAAACGGACTCTCAAAAGGTTACGGTTTTATTCACTTCGAAACCGAAGAAGCCGCAAATAAAGCTATCGAGAAGGTAAATGGGATGTTATTAAACGGGAAAAAAGTTTACGTTGGGAAGTTTATTCCACAAAAGGAACGAGAAAAGCAATTAGGTGAAAAGGCGAAACTTTTTACAAACATTTATGTGAAGAATTTCGGTGAGATGACCGACGAATCGTTAAAAAATGTTTTTGCTAAATACGGTAAAATAACTAGTTGTACCGTAATGAAGAATATGGATGGTTCTTCGAAAGGTTTTGGATTTGTTGCGTTCGAAGATCCCCGCGAAGCTGAAAAAGCCGTTCGAGAACTTCACAACAAAGAATTAAACGGCCACACTTTATACGTTTGTCGAGCTCAGAAGAAAGCGGAACGTCAAAACGAATTAAAACGTCATTACGAACAACTTAAATTGGAACGTTACAATCGTTACCAAGGTGTAAACTTGTTTATTAAAAATCTTGATGATGACATCGACGATAATCGTTTAAGAAAAGAATTTATGCAATATGGTACGATTACTTCAGCTAAGGTTATGACTGAAGACGGGAGAAGCAAAGGATTTGGTTTTGTTTGTTTTTCATCGCCGGATGAAGCGACTAAAGCTTTAGTTGAGATGCATGGCAAAATGATGGGGAGCAAACCGCTTTATGTTGCTTTGGCTCAACGCAAAGAGGATCGTAAAGCTTATATGGCTTCGCATCTCCAACGCATCCGCATCCAACCCAACATTTATCCATCAACCCCACCATTTTTAATGCCAACCGTTCCTCAAGGACCGAGATTTTATAATCACGTGAACCATATCAGAGCCACACCCCGTTGGTTAACTTCCCCAGCGATTCGTCCCAATGGAACTTACCCAACAGCTGCAAATAGTTTATACAGAGTCAGCTCAAGACCTTCCGTTCAAAACAATAATGTAAGAAACACCGTTATCACCGCAAGACCAATAACCGGTCAACAAACAACAACCCATGCACGACCAAACAGCAAATATACAGCGAATAGTAACCATATAATTCGCCCGATTGCTTTGGCTTTAAATAATAGCGGCGATAACGTCCCGTTGAGCGCAACAACTTTAGCTTCGGCAACACCGGAGGATCAAAAACAAATGTTGGGGCAACGTTTATTCCCGTTTGTTGAAAAAATGTTTCCGGATTTAGCCGGAAAAATCACCGGAATGTTATTGGAAATTGATACATCTGAATTATTGCATATGATTGAAGATCAAGAATCGTTGAGGGCGAAGATTGAAGAAGCCGTGGCTGTTTTACAAGCGCATCAAAGCAAAAATGTTGGAATCGTTCAGGAATAATTATTAATTCGAGGCAAGATTTCGATTTTGGTGGAGTTCGTTTCTTATTTCGTTTTTAATTTATTGCTATTTTTTTAAATTTACCCCAATTTCACACAAGTTGGCAGTTTTATCTTAACAACAAAATCCAAAAAAAGAATCGAGAACGAATTTACGATAAGAAAATAAACCTTAGTTTTTAAAAATGCTCGAATTTGTGTGAAAATTGTTGTTTTTTTTTGATGATATACGTTTTTAGTTTTATAGTTTAATTTTTACTAAGAACGAATTGTATTAATAAACATGTTCGAGTTCAATACGATTTTTTATTTAAAAATATTCTGTAAGGTTAATAAGTTTAACCCTTTGTGTCCCGAAGGTACATTGAAGTACCGGTAGTTTTAAATACATTTAAAATCATTTCAAAAAAAGCATTGAGTTTTAATTTAAAATAAGTGTCATTCCTCAATTTCAATAAATACGACTTCCAGGAATTTATAAATTAGCACCTTTTTTGACAATTTTAGGTTATACAAAAATCTAAGTTTTATTTCAACATTTTTTTTCTCAATATTTTTCTAATCCAACCCAACAATTATTATACATCATTTTAAAGAGAAAGCTTTGAGCTTTAATTTAAAATAAGTTTCATTCCTTAATTTCAATAAATACGGCTTCCAGGAATTTTTAAATTAGCATCTTTTTTGACACTTTTAGGTTATACGAAAATGTAAGTTTTGTTTCAACATTTTTTTTCTCAATATTTTTCCAATCCAACCCAACAATTATTATACATCATTTTAAAGAGAAAGCTTTGAGCTTTAATTTAAAATAAGTTTCATTCCTTAATTTCAATAAATACGGCTTCCAGGAATTTTTAAATTAGCATCTTTTTTGACACTTTTAGGTTATACGAAAATGTAAGTTTTGTTTCAACATTTTTTTTCTCAATATTTTTCCAATCCAACCCAACAATTATTATACATCATTTTAAAGAGAAAGCTTTGAGCTTTAATTTAAAATAAGTTTCATTCCTTAATTTCAATAAATACGGCTTCCAGGAATTTTTAAATTAGCATCTTTTTTGACACTTTTAGGTTATACGAAAATGTAAGTTTTGTTTCAACATTTTTTTTCTCAATATTTTTCCAATCCAACCCAACAATTATTATACATCATTTTAAAGAGAAAGCTTTGAGCTTTAATTTAAAATAAGTTTCATTCCTTAATTTCAATAAATACGGCTTCCAGGAATTTTTAAATTAGCATCTTTTTTGACACTTTTAGGTTATACGAAAATGTAAGTTTTGTTTCAACATTTTTTTTCTCAATATTTTTCCAATCCAACCCAACAATTATTATACATCATTTTAAAGAGAAAGCTTTGAGCTTTAATTTAAAATAAGTTTCATTCCTTAATTTCAATAAATACGGCTTCCAGGAATTTTTAAATTAGCATCTTTTTTGACACTTTTAGGTTATACGAAAATGTAAGTTTTGTTTCAACATTTTTTTTCTCAATATTTTTCCAATCCAACCCAACAATTATTATACATCATTTTAAAGAGAAAGCTTTGAGCTTTAATTTAAAATAAGTTTCATTCCTTAATTTCAATAAATACGGCTTCCAGGAATTTTTAAATTAGCATCTTTTTTGACACTTTTAGGTTATACGAAAATGTAAGTTTTGTTTCAACATTTTTTTTCTCAATATTTTTCCAATCCAACCCAACAATTATTATACATCATTTTAAAGAGAAAGCTTTGAGCTTTAATTTAAAATAAGTTTCATTCCTTAATTTCAATAAATACGGCTTCCAGGAATTTTTAAATTAGCATCTTTTTTGACACTTTTAGGTTATACGAAAATGTAAGTTTTGTTTCAACATTTTTTTTCTCAATATTTTTCCAATCCAACCCAACAATTATTATACATCATTTTAAAGAGAAAGCTTTGAGCTTTAATTTAAAATAAGTTTCATTCCTTAATTTCAATAAATACGGCTTCCAGGAATTTTTAAATTAGCATCTTTTTTGACACTTTTAGGTTATACGAAAATGTAAGTTTTGTTTCAACATTTTTTTTCTCAATATTTTTCCAATCCAACCCAACAATTATTATACATCATTTTAAAGAGAAAGCTTTGAGCTTTAATTTAAAATAAGTTTCATTCCTTAATTTCAATAAATACGGCTTCCAGGAATTTTTAAATTAGCATCTTTTTTGACACTTTTAGGTTATACGAAAATGTAAGTTTTGTTTCAACATTTTTTTTCTCAATATTTTTCCAATCCAACCCAACAATTATTATACATCATTTTAAAGAGAAAGCTTTGAGCTTTAATTTAAAATAAGTTTCATTCCTTAATTTCAATAAATACGGCTTCCAGGAATTTTTAAATTAGCATCTTTTTTGACACTTTTAGGTTATACGAAAATGTAAGTTTTGTTTCAACATTTTTTTTCTCAATATTTTTCCAATCCAACCCAACAATTATTATACATCATTTTAAAGAGAAAGCTTTGAGCTTTAATTTAAAATAAGTTTCATTCCTTAATTTCAATAAATACGGCTTCCAGGAATTTATAAATTAGCACCTTTTTTGACAATTTTAGGTTATACAAAAATTTAAGTTTTATTTCAACATTTTTTTTCTCAAAATTTTTCCAATCCAACCCAACAATTATTATACATCATTTTAAAGAGAAAGCTTTGAGCTTTAATTTAGAATAAGTCTCATTTCTTAATTTCAATAACCAGGAATTCCAGGAATTTTTAAATTAGCATCTTTTTTGACACTTGTGTTACTTATTTTCTAACGTAATAAAAAATGTATTATTTTTGTATTAACAATAAAAGTTTTTGTATACTGGATCATCACTAAAATACATCCCCCTTGGAACGGGGGATTGCATATTTTGCTAAAATTGATTTGACTTCTTGGGACACAAAGGGTTAAGGTTGGTAGTAAAAATCGATGTGTTGCTAAGATACCACAATCAAACATTTCAAACGTCAAATATAATAGCATCATGCAAAGACAACATTCTTTTTCGATTTTAAACGATTCCAAAAAATCCTCAAAGAAAAATAACCAAAAAGAATCTTTAAGTGATTTTTTAAGTGACTCCGAAGAAGAAATTTCGATAGAAACTCCCGGAAAAGTACCCCAAATCCCCGACGTAACAGACGCTTTGAGCCATGTCAACGGAATACGGCAAAAAATTACAAGCGCCGGCCCCTCTTCCGATAGAAAAAGTTCAAATTTAAGCTCAGATAGTGATTCGGAATCGGGCGAAAAGAAAAAGAATATTCCCGGGGAGTATGACCCGAAAAATTTCGACGATTTAGACGTAAACGAGGAAGTTAGAGATTTATTTCAGTTTATTATTAAATATACCCCGCAAAATTTAAATTTGGATTTCAAATTTAAACCGTTTATACCCGATTATATCCCGGCCGTTGGAGATATCGATGCTTTTATTAAAGTGGTCCCACCGCAACAAGGAATCGATGATGATGAGAAAAATGGAATTAAAACGGATCATTTGGGGTTAACAGTTTTAGATGAACCTTCAGCAGCACAAAGCGACCCAGCTTTGTTACATTTACAACTAAGAGCTTCTTCGGTTAATTCACAAACGGATCAAAAAGATATTGTTGTTAAATCAGTTGAGAACGTTGAAAAAAACGTTAAAGTTATTGATAAATGGATTAAAGATATGAACGATTTACATAAAAGTAAATCATCCCCTGTTGTTCGTTATTCAGAGTATTTATTAATTAATTAATCTTTTTTATTAAGTTTAAAATGATTTTTTTTTGTAGCCCAATGCCTGATTTGGATGATTTGATGGAACAATGGCCCGAAAACATCGACAATTTAATAAAAATCCAAGGAATACCTCACTTTTCAGCATTTGAAACATTAACTGAATACATCGACGTTATTTGTTGCATTTTTGATATCCCCGTTTATCAAAATCGATTGGGATCGCTACATTTATTTTTTAGTTTATGCGCTGCCGTTAAAAACTCACAAATATATCAAAGTTCCGTTTATAATGAAACCTTTTCTGATAATAAAACAATAAACGGGGAAAGTGACCAATTAGTTCTCGATTAAATCAATAAATGAAGTTATAAAAAAATCTTGTTTGAGTTTTATTTATGGAAACTTTTTTAATAATAAAAATTATTTTAATTTGCGGATAACGTTGTTGGCATTGATCCACGTTTTTGGCGCGATTAAAGGCCGTTCTAAAAATAATAATTTCGAAGGTGCGTTTATTTAGACGCGAAACGGCAAAAATCTTGTTGCTAAATCAGCTCTTTAATTTGATTCAGTTTAGGTGGTCTCCGAAAAAACCGCTAAATAATCAAATATTCCCCACCACGTTTTTGACGTTTTTCCCTTCTCCTTGCCGTCTTATTGGTTTTTGGGGCCGCGGTGCGCGTGTGATGACCGTTTATCGATCCGGTACCTTTAAATAATTTAAAGTAAAAAACCCCAACTTCATCAAAAGTGTCTTTTCAACTGAGAACAAAAAGTTTTCACCATGAATTTGATGTTTAGAAAGAATTTTAAGGAACAAAAAGGTTTTGGGGGGAAGAGCGCCCTTTCAAAGAGTTCCAGCCGTCATACTAATAAAAGAAGCAATCGAGAATCAGGTTATACACCGATAGAGGAACACCATTATAGGACCCACTTGTTTTTTAGCCCAAGATGCACGTATACATTAGATGAATCAGAAGGTAGACGCTTTTATTTGTAAAATTAACAATATTCACAAGAAATTAGACGCCAATTTGTAATAAACATATTTTGAGACCTCTCTAAAGACTGAAGGTCGTCTTAATCTGGCAATGACCACCACTGAATTTAAATAACACTATTTTTAACCACCCAACTAGTTTTAACCAAATCAAACTAATAAGAAAAAAATTACTAATCATTTCCTACAAGTATTAAGGGAATATCTCATTTTTAGAACCTCGTTGTGGACCAATGACTGGCCTTTCAGATCAAACAACCCCTTTACAAAGTTATAACTCCGGCTTAACAGGAACGGAATCAGATTATCATCAACCGTTGGTTGTACGAAGCCCTTCGGTTTCACTTATTAAATGGCCATCACCAAAAAATACACCTACAAGACAAGTAAGTATCTTTAAGAGAGCCTAAAGTATGATTTTGATTAAAAAAAAATAAAATAATATACTTACATTCAAAATTTTGAGGTTATGTCATCCAATCATTAATATTTTAATGTTATATGTACTAATTTTTATATTTTCTTGCAAATTACCAATAACAATCAATAAAATAACTTCCTTTAATCGTTTTAAATAAAAAGATCTTCAGTTAGAAAGAAAAGTTGCTTGGAAAACGATTTAAACTTAATTTTCTCGATTCATATTCTTCTTAAGAGATGGCGCTATAATGCAACAATAATAAAGAAAAAAAAAAAATTAATATTTACATTTACACCAAAGAATTTTTATAGAATATAAATACAAAATTGATTCACACATAAAGTATGATTTTGATTTAAAAAATTAAAATAATATACTTACATTCAAAATTTTGAAGTTATGACATCCAAAGATTAACATTTTAATATTATAAGTACTAATTTTTATATTTTCTTAAAAATTACCAATAACGTTCAATTAAATAGCTTCCTTTAATCTTTTTAAGTAAAAAAATCTTTAGTTAGAAAGAAAAGTAGCTTAAAAAACGATTTAAACTTAATTTTCTCGATTTATATTTTTCTTAAGAGATGGCGCTAAAATGCAACAATAATAAATAAACTCAAAAAAAAAATAATATTTGTATTTACACCAAAGAATTTTTATAGAATATAAATACAAAATTGATTAACACATAAAGTATGATTTTGATTTAAAAAATTAAAATAATATACTTACATTCAAAATTTTGAGGTTATGTCATCCAATGATCAATATTTTAATGTTATATGTACTAATTTTTATATTTTCTTAAAAATTACCAATAACGTTCAATTAAATAACTTTCTTTAATCTTTTTAAGTAAAAAGATCTCCAATTAGAAAGAAAAGTAGCTTAAAAAACGATTTAAACTTAATTTTCTCGATTCATATTCTTCTTAAGAGATGGCGCTAAAATGCAACAATAATAAATAAAATCAAAAAAAAAATTAATATTTACATTTATACCAAAGATTTTTATAAAATATAAATACAAAATTGATTCACACATAAAGTATGATTTTGATTTAAAAAATTAAAATAATATACTTACATTCAAAATTTTGAGGTTATGTCATCCAATGATCAATATTTTAATGTTATATGTACTAATTTTTATATTTTCTTAAAAATTACCAATAACGTTCAATTAAATAACTTCCTTTAATCTTTTTAAGTAAAAAAATCTTTAGTTAGAAAGAAAAGTAGCTTGAAAAACGATTTAAACTTAATTTTCTCGATTCATGTTCTTCTTAAGAGATGGCGCTATAATGCAACAATAATAAATAACATAACCTCAAAATTTGTCAATTTTTTAGGTTAGCTTTAATTATTCCGAACAAAATAACAATAATGAACCATCAAGGAATTTATCGGGATTGGATCGAGATTGTTTCATCATTCCAGTACACAGTTTGGAACGATTTTTACCCGCGGGAGTACCAATACCAGTAGGTAAAACCAAAAATTTGTTTGCATTTCCATAATTTTCACGAAATCTTTTTATTTTACAAAAAAAATAAAAATAGAAACCGAACGCAAATCAACGTGAAAGAAACTCGATTCATGTAATGGAAGTTCCAGATCCAAAATTGTGTGTCTTATGCCATTTAATGAGCCCCTTGGAACCGATCGACCCAATGATGGAGTCACCTTTATGTCAACCTTTATTGAAACAACGGGTTGCTGCCGGGGAATTAATTAGCGAAATTGCACAAGCTAAAACTGCCGTTACCGGAATGTTGTTGGCTAATATGGAAAGAAATGGTAAAAAATTATGATTTCGTGTGATTAATTTTAATTTTATTGTTTTTGTTTTAGCTGAATTTCCTTTTATATCTTATTACGTCATAAATAGCGCGCAAACGAATCCAGTTTTATTTTATAATAATTTAAGATCGGCTAGTTTATCTAAATTTGATCCGAGACATACTAAATACACAGCGGCTCATACTTTGGATTTATATAGCGAGGTTGCTTCGATATGTCGACCCCCAATTAACGAATCAGGCACAAATTTTACTCGAATTAATACTCCAAGTACCGGTTACGTCATCAGCGTTTATAAAGTATTTGAAGGCGACGATAGAGAAGTTTTTGAAAGAAATTGGTTGTATTGGACGGGGGCCCGGATGATTTACCGTTATTTACCACCCCACGCAGGGCTTAAAAAGATTTCTTTGCACAAATCGGTCAGCCCAAAAGGTGATAAAATGTATATTTTATTATGCGAGTGTTCGAACTTATTGAACGATGTTACAGTTTGTGCACTTTTATTACCCGCGCTTAGAGCAAGGTTAACAGGTTATACCGGATTATTTAGACCCATACAAGCGTTTTGAAGAGAATGAATTTAAAAAATAAAAAAACTGCCACAAAAAAGATAGATTTGCATATCCACAAATTACACAAAAAAGAAATAGATTTAAATGTCAAAAAATTGAATTAAATGAAACCAAAACACACATTCACTGTGATATATTCAAAATTGAATGCCTTTTTACCTCATATGCCTTGTGAATAATACCTTTTAAAAAAAAATTTACCTTAAAAAGTGAATAAATATAGATAAATACCACGCTTTTGATTAAAAAAATCAAAAATAGCAATAAAGAAATAAGTCTTCCTCTAGAATTGTTATTAATTTTAATTTGGGTTAATTTATTAATAAAATTAAAACCCCTTTTTCAGTGTTAAATCACTTTTCATTTTTAATTATAATTGCTAAAATGTAACAATAACTAATAAAATCTAGTTTAAATCTAAATATCGTAGGACTAATAACCTTTCCGTCCTCGAAACCGTTGTCGGTTGTCTAGCTGTTAAGAAATTGTAAAAATAAATTGTGAAGAATACCCCCCAAGTTAAAAAAATAAAGTTTAATAACCTTACCAAACTGCGTTTACATTCAAAAAACGTTGTTCTTAATGCTTGGCACTCAGGGACTTCTCTTAAACATTCCCTAGGTGTCTTTTTGCCCTTTTAAAGAATCAAATATAATTAAAATTTGGGTCATCTGAATTTATCAAATTTTTGTTGATTACTTACCATTTTTACACAGTCGCTTTTTAATAAACACATCTTTAAATCAGCTCGTACACCTGCACACGCCGTTTTATCAACTAAACGTTCTCCTTCTTCCGAATATTCCATTTTCTTTCCTGTTAAAAAGTAATTTTAGGATTAACATAACCTCAAATTAATTTTTATCGAAAATATTATATTTAATATTATTTATATAAAAATTTATAGGTACCTCTACAGTTAAAATATGTTTCCGATTAATTCTTGTTTATTATTTAAATTAAAAAACATAAATTAGCAATTATATTGAAGGTGGATTAATATTTTTGAGGTTATGTTATTTCATTACCAATCACTGAAAAAAAAATTCAAATAAATTCAAAATTTTTATTTACTTAAATATTAATAATTAATTAATTAAATTATTAATTCTTCTCTCTAAATTCAAGTTTAAAGTAGTTCTTCGTCTAAAACATTATTTCAAATAAGTTTTTAGTTCTTTCCAAAAAGCTTTTTGACCACTTTTCAATATTAAACTAGCTTTCTTCAAGTAAAATCTCCAATCGTCGTCTTGAATATCATCAACATTATCTTTATCCAACAAAATAACGATAATTAAATGTTCCCTGTTAATTCGAAATCGTTCGTAAGCCATAATAACCTCCGTTTTCCCCCAATCGCTTTTTAAAAACTCATTAGAAACTACAACAAGGGTTCTTCTCGAATTTTCGATTGAATATCCAATTTGTTTCGAAATGAATTCCCCAACAATCCAATCTCGGGCATGCACACATAACCTTAATTTATATTCCTCTTCGAGTTTTTGAACCAAATTCAAGACGTAATCTTCGTTTTTATACGAATAACACAGAAAAGCGTCGTAAATAAACTCGGTTGAGTATCTCCTTATTTTATAATACGAATTAATTTGATTTTTAATTTTTTTGTAGGTTATGTAACAAATTATGGTTAATACAAGCGAAGTTACGATTAAAAACGAGGTTAAATAATGATTTTGATCGATTTTGGGGCATAAATCTTCGGTTATCTCGAGAAATTTCTTTTTATTTCCACACAAAATCGTTTTGTTCGTTAAAATTAAATCGAATTCGGTTTTTAGTAATTTTGTGAGGTTAAGTGCGTTACAATCGCACGACCACGGATTTAATTCTAGATTAAGTTTAGATAAATTTAATTTCTTTAAGATAGTGTAATCTAAGTATTCTAAATTATTATTATTTAATTCTAAAATTTGTAAATTGTTTGGTAACCAATTTATAACCTCCAAATTATTTTTTGAAAGCTTTAAACCGGTTACGTTTTTAAAACCGTCGGTTTCGACGAATTTTTTGATCAAATTTTCGCTTAAATCAACGTAGAAATTGTTATAAACAATATCGTCGAGTTTGAAAGGTTTGAAATTGGTGATATTTGGAGTTGAGGTTATGTTTAAATTTGAACAATCCATCTCGAGGGTTGAATTAAACGGAAATAAGGAACAATTACAGTTTTTTAAGCACACATAATGCTGTTTGTGGGAAATTAATTTACATTTTAAGTGTTGGGGGTCGCAAAATTCGTTTTTGTTGTATTCAAAATGAAGATTTGCGCGATTTTGGGCGTTGAATATGGTGCAATCGTCGCATTTAAAGGGATTTCGGTTGATTTTTAGTTTTAAAACGATGTTGGTTTCAAGTAAAATCGCATGGATGTTGTTAGTTTCGATTCTTTTTAATTGATTGTTGGAGACATCGATGAATTTTTCAAATAATCTTGTTTTTTTCGGGAATCCAATTGAGTTAAGCTGTTTGATTAAAGAAATTAATTTTAAACGATTTCAATTTAATAAGAACTTACCGATAGTTGTTGTAAATTATTATTTTTTAATATAATCTCTTTTAACGAAACGATATGACCCAAATTGGGATATCTCGAAATGTTGTTGTAACTCAAATTAATCTTTTCAAGTTTAATTAAGTGGTCCAACCCGGAAATTTCGGTTAAATTATTTAATTTTAGGTTAAGTTCTTTTAAATTTCGCGTATTAAAGTAGGATTTAGGTGAAATTAATTTCATATTATTTTTTGATAGGTTCAAATCGATTAAGGATGGCAAATTAAAGTTTGAAGGGGACAAATTTATGATTTCATTCCCGGTTAGATCTAAAAATTGCAAGTTTTGTAACCCCGCAAAATCATCCCAATTATTTAACCCAACATGAATTAAATTCAATTTCGTTAATTTTTTTAGTGGTAAAAAAAATTCGTTGGGGACACGATCGATTTTGCAACTTTTCACAACTAAAGTTACCAAGTTATCCAGCGAAATTAAAGAGTCTTTATAAAAGATGCATTTTCCGCCGTAAATATTAATTTGGTTCAATAATTTATTGTTTTTAAACACGTCTGAAGTCAAATTTAAAACGCTCGTTACATTTAACATTAAATTATTCAAGTTAATTAAGGTTTGAAAGGATTTCGGGGGTAACCCGTTAATATCTAGCCTCAAACTTTTTAAATTTTCCAACTTTGAAAACACTTTTTCGTTAAAATAATTAATATCGTTGTTATTTAAATGGAAAGTTGTTAAGTTTGTTAAATTAATGATTTCGGGGAGTTTTTTAATTTTATTATGGCTTAAATCGAGGCTTTTCACGTTAATTAAATACTCAAAAACGTTATTAACATCTTCTAAATCATTAAAACTCACATCTAATATTTGCACGTCTTTAAATTTTTTATCGAAACTGATTTTATTAAGAGAACAATGTTTTAAATTAATAGAGGTACTCAAGATATCATTTACACCTAATAAATCGCACTTTTTATGGGAAAATAATGGTTTTAAAAGAATCATTAGGAAATAAAGAGTTATTGAAAATTGAGTTTTCATTTTTGTGTTGCGTTTAAAGTTAATGAGCGGTTACAAGGAACTAGGACGGATTAAGTTTATGTAACGGAAACCGCAAATGATAAAAAAATTAATAAGACTCATATCTTTTTTTCATAAGCCATGTTTCAGCTCTATATGTTAGGGTTGGTTCTCACTTCCTTCTCGCCCACAATTGTGTTATTTATTTGGTAATATTTACTTGCTTTTTGTATTTATTTTGTATTTCTCTCTCTTGTTCAATTTTCTCAAAACTTCAAATATTGTTTTCTCAAAAACTGAAATTTATTTTTCAAAACGGATTGGCTCATTGGAAAGAGGACACTTTTATTAACATTTTGGGAAATTTTCATACTCATATTCCAAGAAATGGATTTTATACGAATTTTTAAAACTTAAACCGCAAAAATTGCAAAATTCGAATAAATTGTCAATCATTTCAAAAATTTATTTCTCAAAAACTAAAAGCGATTTTTCAAAACGGCTTGGTGCATTAAAAACGGGATACTTTAATTAATAATTGGTAATATTTCCACAAGGATCCTTCAAGAAATTAATTTTATAGCGAATTTTGAAAGTTATCGATGAAAATTGCAACATCGAAAATTTTTTCAAAACTTCAAATATTGTTTTCTCAAAAACTAAAAGTTATTTTTCAAAACGGGTTGGTTCATCGGAAAGATGACACTTTTCTTAACACTTTGCGAGTTTTTCATACTCATATTCCAAGAACTGGATTTTATACGAATTTTTAAAACTTTTTTAATCGGCACCTAAAAGAGATACTAATTCCTGTGAATGCTGGAGTACTAAGTAATAAGTTTTTAATATCCTACACCACTAATATTCGGCCAAATATCAAATTGCAACATCGAAATAGGTCTATTTCTTATTGTTTTAGAATAATAACCTTTTTTTTTAGTGTCGTCAAAGAAATTAAATTTACAGTTTCCTGTAAATTATAACTAAAAATTAAAAAAAAAAACATATTTCTGATATTTGAAACAAATACATTTGTTGAACTATTTAGTTTATATTTGTTTTACACAAAAGTCGGAATAGATTGCATTATTTCACATTTTTTATTAATATTTAATATTATAATTAAATGACATAATGAATTATTGATAGATGGCGCTCATTTGTTTGTATTCAAAAATTTTCTGAAGTGTCAAATTAAAAATCCTGTTTTTTAAGATGGATTACGAAAAGTTTAACATGTTAGAAATTAGAAAATAAAGTAAATTTTATATAAATTTTTAGTAGAATAATTTTCAGTTATTGTACCGTAATTTACAGGAAACTGTAAATTTAATAACCAAAATAATTGCACTTGCTGGTTTTACGATATTTTCAATTTTTGCGCTTTGAGGTTTTCGGCATTTGCAGTTTCTCGAAAAACGAGATCTTCCTTCATTAGTAGCTCCTTAGCTATATTTATTATCTATTTATCGTTGTCTTTAGGGCCATTCCCTCCTCATCTCAAATTGGGATTAAATGAATTAAAAATCTGTTAATTTTATGTTCAGATTTATTTTTATATCCACATTTATTTCAAATTTAAACATCTAATAATAATAATAATCATATTTTCAGTTTTACTTTTTTTTAACCAATAAAAATGCTCATTTCCTTAAGATTATTTCATAAATAAATTAGAAACAGGGTTTTTTCGTAGTAATAAAAATCAACCTACATTTTTTTTTTCATTTTCATTTACCATTCACTAGCGCATTAGTTATACAATTACAATAGTAATAATAATAATCATCATTACTATTAAGTACACAGTAGTTTTTTTTTATTTACTCTCGATAACTTATCTTTTTAGTTAATTTTAAATTTAATTTAACTTTACTTTTGTTTTCATTAAACTTTTAAACGTCTCCTTATACTTTTACAATAGAATTCGTAAAGAATAATAGTAAAAGTGTGATTTTACTTTATTTTTTATTTAAATTTCAACTTAACCTTCATCGTTTTCGTTTTTTTCTTGTGATTAACAGCTCTTTTTACTTCATTTATCATCATTAATCTTTCATCTAACTCTCTTTAATAATAAATAATTAAATGGATAATTAAATAACTAAATTAACGTCAATTTACTCATTTAATTTTTAATCATCATGTTTTCTTCTTTAATATTATGGTAAGAGATAATCCGAAATCAAATAATAAAAAAAAATAATAATAATAATAAGTAATAGTAATAATAATTATAATAACACGTTAAAAAGTTTTTTTCACTTAGACGAGAGACCCGGCACGAAGAGACGCTGTCCCTGTAGAGAAAAAAAATAAAAGGACGAAGACGACCGCGACGACGCGAAGCTTTTTTTTAGTTGTTGTTGTTTATCAAACCGATGTAGTGGAGTAGTAAACACGACGACGACGGCGTGGTGCCGGGTGGAAACACGAAATAAGCAAAAACGACGCCGTTTTGATGTCCCGCAAACGAAAACGGCTCACTTTGAAGTCATCATGGTGACGAATTCTGCAAAAAAAATCATTCAATCAATTATTTATATCAATTTATAATCGCAAAATTAAATTAATACATAAAACTATAATTCTTTTATAGTAAATAATAAAATTGAAGAAAAATTAAGTAAATAACCAGAATATAAAGAAGAAACGTGATTCATGCAATAAATAATTTCAAAAAAATCATGCAAATTTAGGTTTTGACCCATAAAAATTAAGATTCTTTTTATTTAAATTAAAACACCCGACATTTATCTTTTCTCTCTCTCTCTCTCTCTACATTTATTTTATTTTAATTCCTTTTTTTTGGTACGAGTGCAAAAACGGTTCACATTTATATTACAGCATGCGTAGTTAAACGATTTTCATTGTAAAAGTTCATATAAAATTAAATAAATTAACAATAATAAACCAAATTTTTTTTGACAGCAAACGTCATTGGTAAAAAAAAAAAAGGTTGGCAACTCTGAAATTTAATTTTATAGGAAACGTCATATTTTGAGGTTAGGATATTTCGTAATTTTTATTATAAATTTATAAATAATACTTTATTAATGAATAAACCATCTTGAAAAGGACAAGAGATTGATTAAATTATAGGTAAAATTGATTTAAATAAAAATTGAGGTTATGTTTGTTTTATATGAACTTTTTTTTTAGATATTATTTTGATATATTTTTGTGTGAGAGAGATTGGATACGCTCTACGAGACTACGAAAAAACTGACCGGCATATTTTTAAGCGCGCAAACCAGAGTACCGAGTGAAAACAATCTGAGCAAGCTCACGGAAATCTGCAATAAGGAATACAACAGCACCAGAAAAAGTAGTAGAAGTACTCAAAGAGCACCACAAATTAAATCAAAATAAAAAAATCGCCCCCTCGATATCACTAAATCCAATCCGAATCAATAAAAGTAAAAAAAATCTAATTCTAAATCAAAAAAAAAGTTTAAAAAGAACTATTAAAATAAAATAGTTAAAGAGGTATTTAGACCAATTCCTTCGCAATCAATTTTTTACCTTCATAATTGACTTGTCCATCACCGTCAATATCGGCCTCTCTAATCATCTCGTCCACTTCTTCATCCGTCAACTTTTCACCGAGGTTGGTCATCACGTGACGCAATTCCGCCGCCGAAATAAAACCGTTACCGTCCTTATCGAACACCCTGAACGCTTCGCGAATCTCTTCCTCGCTATCGGTGTCTTTCATTTTGCGGGCCATCATCGTTAAAAATTCCGGAAAATCAATCGTTCCATTGCCTAAAATAAATAACACAAACAAATAAGTCGAATTTAATCCTTTTTAATTGGACCGCGTTATGCATCACTTGACTAAGCGATAAATGTTATATACAGGGTGTCACACAAAAAACGCCCCAAGCAGTAACTCTGTCATTTATATTCCGATTTTCATGAGCGAGGCATCAAATGAAATGGTTTGATGAATACTATGATTCATGCTACAAATACATTTTTTTCAAGGCCATCTTCAGTTTTAAGCGATTATTAACTTTTGTTTTTCAAATTGCTCTATATATTTTTCTTCACGTCATTAGATAGAGATCGTTTTTCTGAAGATAGCGTTGGAAAAAGTTTATTTGTAGCATGAATCATAGTATTCATCAAACCTTTTCATTCGATACCTCACTCATGAAAATCTGGAGATAAATGACAGAGTTACAGCTTGCGACATTTTTTTTATCAACTTGAAATGACTCAAAAAACACGTTAAAAATAAAAAGAAAGTGCGGAAAAGTAATTAACACTAGATTAACTTCAGTTATAAAACTTCTATTATATTATAACTAACTTCAGGTTTAAAATGTCAACCTCAATTTTGACATATTTGTAATCTTCATTAAAAATCCTTTAAAATGAGTACAAACACGACATATTTATCTTCAATATTAATGAAGTTATGGTCAACTTCCGGTTAAGAATGTCAACGTCAATTTTGACATATTTGTAATCGTCGTGAAAAATCCTTTAAAATGAGTTCAAACATGATACGTTTAATTTCAATATTACTCGAGGTATAAGCAACTTCCGGTTTGAAATGTCAATGTCATTTTGACATATTCTTAATTTTTATAAAACGTCTTAATATTTGTCATAAAAATATAATTAAAAAAATCAAAAATTAAGGTTGGTATTAATATTTAAAAATTAATCTTCATTGTTGCTAGTTTCGGGTTTAACGTTTTTTATTCTAACTTTGTTTTTTGAGATAAGTGCGTCATCTTTGGACTCATTTTAAAGGTTTTTTAATGAAGATGACAAATATGTCAAAATTGACGTTTCAAACCGGAAGTGATTGTATTTCCATTAATGTCAAAGTTAAATATGTCGAGTTTGGACTCACTTTAAAGGTTATTTCATGAAGATTACGAATATAATAATAAAATTAAAGTTGACATTGACAACTGAAAGTTTTTTTCACGACTAAACCCGAATGATTCTAGTTCTAGGTCTAGTGTTAGTTTTATTGCAATAAAAATATGCAACATAGTGATATTTTATGCTAACTAGCGCTACCTATCACTATCACTAGTAGATAAGGTAAGTCCTTTTAATCACTTTAAGCTTCTTTAAACTTTTTTTAATTAATCTCACTTTCTAAGACATAAAAATGTTTTTAAAAAAATTTAATTTTTATTTGAGCGCCATCTATCGGTCATATTTTGAATCTAATTTTGACGTTATAACCTCTATTTACTTTTAACGTAATTTCTCTAACCTTTATGTAAAACTTCAGCACAAAATTAAATAGATTTCCCTCATTCATGATCAATCGGAAGTCGGTCATATCTAATTTTGATGAAATTTAATCATTTTTTACTTTGACAGTTGCAACTTTGAGGTTAACACTTAAAAAGGTGGAAAAAAATTCAAGTATCGATGTGAAATGACCCAAAATATACGTTAAAAATAAAAAGACAGTGTTCAAAAGTAAAGAACATACCGAAAAATCACATTAAAGTTTCGATGTGACGTCACAAACAATGTTAACCAAGCATTTTCCTATTAAACCAGCCAACACCTAACCTATAAATTGTTTATTTTATGACTACCTGTCGTTAGATAGAGAGATGTTAATCTATTTGTAGAGTCTCTAAGGATGGCCAAGGGCCGAAACTAATTAGACTTAAATTCTATATAAAATAAAAGACATAAACCTTTAAAATAAATAGTATTTTAGGTCTTTCGATATTCTGCGTTTTTTCAAAGATAAGTTACACCTTTACCTATCAGACAGCTTGAAAATCTCTAAAATCGATAAAATGTGGCTTAGTCAAGTGATTTATAACCCAGTCCAATTGTTCTAAGAAGTCTCTTTTATTAGTTTCACGTGATTAAACAATGTAATTTGATAAATAAGATCATAAACGATCCTGATAAGGAGTTATCAGGGATTAGATCTTAAAATAAATTTTTTAAAATGAATCATACTAATTAAAATCGTAATCAAGATAAAAAGGTGATGTAAAAAATGTATTTTAACGTTTAAAGTAACTAACAAGCTTTTTTTTTTTGTTGTTTTATCTTTTAGATAAGGTATTTTTCGAAAACGCGTTTCTAGGATTTAGTAATAACTTTTAATTACTCAATAAATATAACATGGATACTTTATCTATTAAAACAATCTTTTTAATTATTAAATTTATCCTTATAAAGTAGCTTTAAGTAATCGTAATTAAAGAATTGCTTTTGTAACCATATTTTTATTGTAAAAGTTTATATAAATTGTAAATAGTAATAAATTAAAAAATTTTTTGACAGCATACGTCGTTGGTGAAAAGGTTGGCAACTCTGAAATGTAATTTTATAGGAAACGTCATATTTTGAGGTTAGAATATTTCCTAATTTTTATTATAAATGCTTTATTAATGAATAATCCGTCTTGAAAAGGACAAGAAATTGATTAAATTATAGGTAAAATTGATTTAAATAAAAATTGAGGTTATGTGTATTTTATATAAACTTTTTAGGTTTTTTTTTTAAATATTAGTTTCATATATTGTTGTGTGAAAGAGATTGGATACAGATAGTAATCAAGATAAAAAAGATGATGTAAAAAATCTATTTTAATGTTTAAAGTAACTAAAGAGCTTTTTTTTTGTTGTTATATCTTTTAGATACTTTTCAAAAAGGCGTTTCTAGAATTTAGTAATAACTTTTAATTACTAAATAAATATAACATCCACGCTTTATCTATTAAAACAATCTTTTTAATAATTAAATTTATCCTTATAAAGTAGCTTTATGTAATCGTAATTAAAGAATTTGGAATTCCGGTCAATTAACTATGTTAAACTGCTTTTGTAACCATATCTTTAACAGGAAATGGTTTCAAAATGGTCGAATTGATAAAGAATTATTAGATTGATTATATGGTTGTAAAAATTCCTTGGAAAAGTAATTTTATAAAAAATTTTTTTTTGGGTGTGTTGACATATTTGAGATAGCGACATCTATTGATGATTTAAAAGATCAATAATGACATAAGCTACAAAAAAAAATTAAATTATTAATTCAATTAAGAATAAAGGGATTTAAAACAACATTAAAAATAATAAATAAATAATGAAAGAGTCACTAAACATTTTTTGACACCATGAATCATAATAATCCCACAAAAAAAAGTTTTAACCTTTTTTAGATGTAAACATTTAAAAAGAATGTTCATCAGATGTGTTTTACTATATAAAAAAGGTTTATCATGACGTAAAGTATGTTAAAATAAGTTTTAAACAAAAAAATAATCACAAAAAAAGATTTTTTTAATACATACCATCAGCGTCGACCTCATTAATCATATCTTGTAATTCTGCTTCGGTGGGATTTTGCCCCAAAGATCTCATGACTGTACCCAGTTCTTTGGTGGTGATGGTTCCATCACCGTCTTTATCGAAAAGCGAGAATGCTTCTTTGAATTCAGCGATTTGTTCTTCGGTTAATTGATCGGCCTATATTTAAGAATAATTCAAAAAAGATAACTTTGAATTCATTCAATAGCACACCGGAAATTCGATTTTATGACGGTTAAGTTGACAGGTGTTAAATAAATATTATTAAAAATGGAGAAACGAGCGAATTATGGATAATTTTCCGTTAAAATTGCGGTTATGTTGAATCTTACCATTGTGATGTTCACGGATGAAACTTTTCTAGTATTTGGATTATAACACGATTGTTACTTTAACCGAATTCTCTGTACAATAACACTTCAGTTTGGACTCCGGCGTCAGACTGACCGTATTCTGTGCGGAACCGAGAGGAAGAGGGTGGGAGGTTATGTTAGCTGCTATAGCGCGCTCGTGATGCGGCTATGACATGTACGAGTAATGTATTCCTACGCCAAATTTTGAATTTAACGAGTCACATCGAAAAAATTACATTATCACCCAATTTAAACCACAAGAAACCAACGCGTTAACTCAAAATCGATCAAATTTGATTTAAACCTTTATAAGAAATTATTTCGAAAAAGTTTTTTAATGAAATTTCGTGTGGTACTACTTTTTATATAATAGTAATTGGTCGGGTGCGGGTTGTTTACAAACGAACGAAACGCGAACGGAGCATTCTGATTGGACGAGGTTCGTCCGCAATGCGTCAAAGGCGACCGCGCCCCCCCGCGGTACGCGAACAAATGCCGCTAAACGGTTGCCGCGATGCGGGTGCGCCGCCACTGCGGCCCCACAACGACGACATCGACGACGACGACGACGTAAACGGTGGCGACGGTGGTGGTGGGTGACCCCGGTGCGTGTAACCCTCCGATGGAACAAAATTCAATTAGAACTAACCTATTTATTAAATGGAAAAGGGGGTGATTTACAAAGGGAGCGATTCGGAAGAACAATCTATGATTAGAAATATTTTTATTAAAAAGAAAAAAAAAGTGTAGATTACCCAAAATAAGTTACTCAAAAAGGAATTATTCATTTAATTATACGTAATTAATTAAGGTTATGTCAAAAAAAGATTTTCAATTAAATACTTTTTTATTTAATCATAATAAAGTAAACAAAGAATTTAATTTTTTCATTTTTATAACCATGAATCAATTAAAACTGTACTGGTTATAATAACAGACTTAAAAGATGAAAGTTTTATTCGTTTCGAAGATAAAGAAGCTCCAAATAAAGATATTTCAAAACTAAATGAGAAAGAAATTTATTTTGTTAAGTTTACTCAACAAACAACAACCCAAACAGTAAATATATATATTAATAAATCCTTCTTCCTTGTTAAATTCATTTAAACAAGATTTAAAGCATCGTTATTGAACTGAAGAAGTTTCAAACAAAGGGATTGTTAAATTTAGTTAGACAAAATAGCTGTTTATTATATAAAGCAATTTTTATTTTGTTTTCAACAATATTAATTATTTCCATTGAGTGTTCGTCATAAATATTTGATTGTAAAGATTAAAATAAAAAATTAAGATTTAACCTAACCTATAAGATCGTTTTGGTTATGTTTCAACATAAAAGATAGGTTATATTTTAAATTTTTTTATTTGTTAAATAATCTTTAATTCATCCTCCAAATTACATTATACAATAAATAAAAAATAAAATAACCAAAAAATTAACAATATAATAACCTCTAATTCTAATCATTTACCCTAATAATACTAGGACTTCCGATCAATATCAATTATTAACAAATTCAAATCCAACATCTAATTTATTTTCATTAACCCGTATCTAATTCTTAATTTTCCTCTTTGTTATTTTTAGTTTCCGTGTTTAATTAAATCTAATCGAAACACAACGGAACGGAAGAAAATGGAAGTATTGGACAAGTTGTTTCAACGGTTAAGGCGGTTGCCATCGAACTACTCGCGTTTTCATGTTCGCCGAGAGCCTCTAAAACCTTCCCCAAATTATACCAAGTGATGTGATTCATCGGGTCGATTTTCGCCGCCTCTCGAAGAGTTGTTTCCGCCAAACCTTGTAAACTTAAATAGTGATAAACCAAACCCAATTGTTGTAAAGATTTTACGTGTTGTGGATTTATGGCAACGGCGTTTTGAAAGCACAGTTTAGCTTCTGACCATTCTTGTTTATGCATATGCAATAATCCTTTCTAAAAAGCAAATACATTAATACTTTCATTAAAAGTACATCTTTATTAGAGATGTTAACTTCAAAATACTGGAGAACAGGTACAATATGTTGCTGTTTTTAAAAAGTATTAGTTCCAAATACTTGTTACAACTGTTCCTCTGTTCCTAGTGATGTAGTGTATAATGTGAAAAATCAAGTATAATGGTAGTACTATATCTGATGGAGAAAGACGTTATGAATAACAAATATTCCTAATGCATCAAGAAATCATAATCCATACTTATTTCATATTTACAATCACCAGTTTCTAGTGATATAGCATACATCGTAAAATGTCAAAATTGGATGATTTTGTGTAATAAAATTAACTATAAAGTAAGTACTAAAAGCGATGGAGAAAGATGTTATCAATAAAAAATGTTCCTAATGCATCAATCAATCATAATCTAGANGCGTTTTGAAAGCACAGTTTAGCTTCTGACCATTCTTGTTTATGCATATGCAATAATCCTTTCTAAAAAGCAAATACATTAATACTTTCATTAAAAGTACATCTTTATTAGAGATGTTAACTTCAAAATACTGGAGAACAGGTACAATATGTTGCTGTTTCTAAAAAGTATTAGTTCCAAATACTTGTTACAACTGTTCCTAGTGATAATGTAGTGTATAATGTGTAAAATCAAGTATAATGTTAGTATTATATCTGATGGAGAAAGACGTTATGAATATTCTTAATGCATCAAGAATTCATAATCTATACTTATTTCATATTTATCTATCACCATTCTGTAGTGATATAGCATAAATCGCAAAATGTCAAAATTGGATGATTTCTCTTGATAAAATAAACTATAATGTAAGTACTAAATGGGGAGAAAGACGTTATGAATAAAAAATATTCCTAATACATCAAGGAATCATATCTATACTTATTTCATATTTCTCTGTTACCAGTTCTTTGTGATTTATGCTATAATCATAAAATGTCAAAATTGGACGATTTCTCTTCATAAAATCAAGTATAACGTAAGTACTAAATCTGATGGAGAAAGATGTTATGAATAAAAAATATTCCTAATGCATCAAGAAATCATAATCCATACTTATTTCATATTTATCTATCACCAGTTTCTAGTGATAAAACATAAATCGCAAAATGTCAAAATTGGGTGATTTTGCTTAATAAAATTAACTATAAAGCAAGTACTAAAAGCGATGGAGAAAGATGTTATCAATAAAAAATGTTCCTAATGCGTCAATCAATCATAATCTAGAATTATTTCATGTTTATCTGTTACCAGTTTTTTGTGATTTATGTTATAATCATAAAATGTCAAAATTGGACGATCTCTCTACATAAAATTAAGTATAACGTAAGTACTAAATCTGATGGAGAAAGACGTTATGAATGACAAATATTCTTAATGCATCAAGAAATTATAATCCATACTTATTTCATATTTATCTATCACCAGTTCCTAGTGATAAAGCATAAATCGCAAAATGTCAAAATTGGATGATTTTGCTTAATAAAATTATCAATAGAGTAAGTACTAAAAGTGATGGAGAAAGACGTTATGAATAAAAAATGTTCCTAATGGATCAATCAATCATAATCTAGAATTATTTCATATTTATCTGTTACTAGTTTTTTGTGATTTATGCTATAATCATAAAATGTCAAAATTGAACGATTTCATAAAATCAAGTATACCGTAAGTACTAAATCTGATGGAGAAAGACGTTACGAATAAAAACTATTCTTAATGCATCAAGAAATTATAATCCATACTTATTTCATATTTATCTATCACCAGTTTCTAGTGATAAAACATAAATCGCAAAATGTCAAAATTGGGTGATTTTGCTTAATAAAATTAACTATAAAGGAAGTACTAAAAGCGATGGAGAAAGATGTTATTAATAAAAAATGTTCCTAATGCATCAATCAATCATAATCTAGAATTATTTCATATTTATCTGTTACTAGTTTTTTTGTGATTTATGCTAAATCATAAAATGTCAAAATTGGACGATTTCTTTTCATAAAATCAAGTATAACGTAAGTACTAAATCTGATGGAGAAAGACGTTATGAATGAAAAATATTCTTAATGCATCAAGAAATCATAATCCATACTTATTTCATATTTATCTATCACCAGTTTCTAGTGATAAAACATAAATCGCAAAATGTCAAAATTGGGTGATTTTGCTTAATAAAATTAACTATAAAGGAAGTACTAAAAGCGATGGAGAAAGATGTTATCAATAAAAAATGTTCCTAATGCGTCAATCAATCATAATCTAGAATTATTTCATGTTTATCTGTTACCAGTTTTTTGTGATTTATGTTATAATCATAAAATGTCAAAATTGGACGATCTCTCTACATAAAATTAAGTATAACGTAAGTACTAAATCTGATGGAGAAAGACGTTATGAATAAAAAATATTCTTAATGCATCAAAAAATCATAATCCATACTTATTTCATATTTATCTATCACCAGTTTCTAGTGATAAAACATAAATCGTAAAATGTCAAAATTGGGTGATTTTGCTTAATAAAATTATCTATAAAGTAAGTACTAAAAGTGATGGAAAAAGATGTTATCAATAAAAAATGTTCCTAATGCATCAATCAATCATAATCTAGAATTATTTCATGTTTATCTGTTACCAGTTTTTTGTGATTTATGCTATAATCAGAAAATGTCAAATTTAGACGATTTTTCTTAATGAAATGAAGTATAACGTATGTACTAAAACTGGTGGAGAGAAACGTTATGAATAAAACATTCCTAAAGCATCATTGCATTAGGAAGTGTTATACAATAGTATACCATGTATACTATACTTAACCTATATCTATACAGGTGTCTCAAATGTCTGNTCCTAATGCATCAATCAATCATAATCTAGAATTATTTCATGTTTATCTGTTACCAGTTTTTTGTGATTTATGCTATAATCATAAAATGTCAAAATTGGACGATTTCTCTTCATAAAATCAAGTATAACGTAAGTACTAAATCTGATGGAGAAAGACGTCATGAATGAAAAATATTCTTAATGCATCAAGAAATCATAATCCATACTTATTTCATATTTATCTATCACCAGTTTCTAGTGATAAAACATAAATCGTAAAATGTCAAAATTGGGCGATTTTGCTTAATAA